TATTGTTTTGAAAATCATACTGTTCTCCATGTCATCCAGTCATGATCCAGTGATCGGAATGTTCCATTGTCTTCTTATTGTTTTGAAAATCATACTGTTCTCCATGTCATCCAGTCATGATCCAGTGATCGGAATGTTCCATTGTCTTCTTATTGTTTTGAAAATCATACTGTTCTCCATGTCATCCAGTCATGATCCAGTGATCGGAATGTTCCATTGTCTTCTTATTGTTTTGAAAATCATACTGTTCTCCATGTCATCCAGTCATGATCCAGTGATCGGAATGTTCCATTGTCTTCTTATTGTTTTGAAAATCATACTGTTCTCCATGTCATCCAGTCATGATCCAGTGATCGGAATGTTCCATTGTCTTCTTATTGTTTTGAAAATCATACTGTTCTCCATGTCATCCAGTCATGATCCAGTGATCGGAATGTTCCATTGTCTTCTTATTGTTTTGAAAATCATACTGTTCTCCATGTCATCCAGTCATGATCCAGTGATCGGAATGTTCCATTGTCTTCTTATTGTTTTGAAAATCATACTGTTCTCCATGTCATCCAGTCATGATCCAGTGATCGGAATGTTCCATTGTCTTCTTATTGTTTTGAAAATCATACTGTTCTCCATGTCATCCAGTCATGATCCAGTGATCGGAATGTTCCATTGTCTTCTTATTGTTTTGAAAATCATACTGTTCTCCATGTCATCCAGTCATGATCCAGTGATCGGAATGTTCCATTGTCTTCTTATTGTTTTGAAAATCATACTGTTCTCCATGCCATCATTCGTTGTTCTCACTTACTTTACCATTTATACATAAGGAGTATTAAAGTCCTGCATCAGATCGGAACCAGAAGGAAAGCTGCTTTTCAGTTAAGCATTTTTCGTACATGCGTACACGCACAAAAAATTTAAATCTCTCTAAATTTTATATATTAAGCATTTCATATACGCTCATGTTTTAACTAGTACCAGGCTACTTAAAGTTTTCCGTGCGCGTACGCGTGTATGAAAAACGCTTAATTGGAAAGCAGCCTTAATCTCCCGCTTTGGACCCGCTTAAGGTTACAGGACACCCTTTTTGGCGTTTTGCGGAAAATCGCTACTGCGCGCTCAATATCAGTCCGATTTTCATCAAATTTTCACCAAATGTTCTCCAGTGCATGCAAAATATGGTAAAGTTGTAAAATTAACAAACAATAAAATAATATAAGAATTATTCAGGAAAATCTTAAATCGCGGTACCGGTTACGCTTTTGAGTTGTGCTCCTGCTGGTTTTAAGTTATATTTATGAAAATATCATTTTTATACAGTAAAATAGTTGTTCTAAAAAATTGTATCCGGAAATTTTTGTTTATTTCGTCATTCCGCTGATATGGCGATTTCTTTGACGACTGCAATATATTTCTGAATTATTTGAGTGAATTGCTCTTTATTATTAAAATATCCAAAACTAAGAAAAAGCCGAACACAATTTTGAAACTGACGTCTTTAGCTATGTCCTGTGAAAATTTGAGAAAAATTGGTCAAAACCCGCAGGAGCACAACTCGTTTGAAAATCAGTAATTACCCGTAAAATCTTCGAGAGAAAATTGAATTTGAATATTACATTTTCAATGTTTTTCTTATTGCAGCGAAATGTATTTTATTAAATAACTCCGCGAGTTTTCAACATTTTTCGTTCAAACTTTGTCAGATAGTAGAACTAGTCTAATGCTTTCATTAAACCAATAAAAAAATTTTAGGCAAAATTAACACTCAAAGGTGTTCTGTAACCTTAACCTCCTGTTTTCGTTGTTTTAGACACCACCATGTTTGAACCGCTGTGTAAAGCGACAGGCGCTCCAGAAGCCTTATCTTTCTTCACCGGCAGCATTTCTATCCTACTAATGATCATAAACATCCCCGGTAACCTCCTAGTGATCCTCGCGGTCGCTTTGGATCCCAACAAAAACCTGCGCAACTCTTTCAATTTCCTGGTAACGAACTTAGCTGTAGCGGACTTGGTCGTCGGCTTGGTCACGGATCCTCTATCCATCCATGTCCATTTCAAAGAAGGAAACAACCAAGCCATCTCAACCGCAGAACTACAGGCAATACATATGTCGTATTTCATCTCTTGCACAGCGAGCGTGTTGAGTATCATCTTACTTGCATGTGATCGCTACATCGCCTTAGTCTACCCGACTCGACACCGATTGATTATGAGTCGTCCAGTACTGCTAGCATCCATTGCCCTAATCTGGCTCGTGTCCATCGCTTTGCCCTGCATCTATTTCGAAGTTGGTTACATCCGTTATGCTTTCATATTTGCAAACACAGCTGTTGTCGTTGCTATTATTATCGCACTCTTCACTTATACTCGTCTTATCATGAAGTTCCATAAAGCAGCCCGTCCCACCGCTGACACAGCAAACAGCGACGCCCCCGATGGTTCGCCGACACCCTCATACAACGACCAAAAACGTATCACCGAAATGTTTCTAGTCATCCTGATAGCTGTGCTATGCTGTTACGTTCCCTCGACAATTTTAATCTACGCGATGAATTTTTGCGAGAGTTGCAGCTGCGACGAGATTCATACGTTCCGTGATCTTCAGTTCGTGTTCGTTATCGCGAATTCGAGCGTGAATTTCTTCTGCTACGCGTTTCGTTCACCAAAGTTCCGTTCCGCGTTCAAAGTGATTTTAAGGCTACAAAAAGCTGGCGCTGGAAACGACGATATGAACATGAACACTGTGGAGAAAGGAGTTACCGAAGTCACTGAAAATAAACTCTAACTTTTTTAAACTCTTACTTCGTTTATATATACATAGTTCAGACACAAACCACGACAGCTTAAGTCAGGTACACATATGCCTGCGCTACACACGTAAAAACGCACAAGTTGTAACAAGTCTGCAAACAAGTTGTTACAAGTTTGTTTACAAGCTGTCAACAAGTTGTGTTCGCATTGCTTGTTCCCAGTTTATTGTAACAAGTTTGAAACAAACTGTTAACAACTTGTAACAAGCTTGATGGCATTATCAGCCTTGTTATAAGACTGTGCTAACAAGTTTGTTACAAACATGATACAACAAGGATGTTACAAGGTTGTAACAATCTTGTTATATCAAGCATGTAACAAGGTTGTTACAAGTTGTTCCAAACCTGTTGACAACTTGTGACAAGCAGTGCGAATACATCTTGTTGACGGCTTGTTGGCAGACTTGTTACAAGATGTGACATTTTTACGTGTGTGTATGCCTGCGCTATCAATGTTTACAGTTGTATACATTCTTTTGTGAATTATTTGGTTGAACTGCTAACGACAATAGCCCGCCAACATACCGCAAGTATATGTGAACCAGGCTTAATTGTGGAATACCGACATACACTGAACCTCTACGTTTGAAATATCACAGTATTCAGACAATAGATACGCGATAGTTACCAGCTAGCTAGGGGCTGTTCATATGAGCTGGGTCAGCCCGCGAGATGAATCGTATCACCAAACTTGTTTCCTGACCATAAAAGATCGTTGGAATAAAGCTTAAACTGTCTATGCCAGGCACAGAGTGTACCAGTGTACGTAGTGCCAATAATGTGAACAAGCTTTCATTGGTAGGGATGTAACTACCTGAACTGAAAATATAAAGAGAATTTCGACGTTTCGAGTGAAAGCCACTTCAAAATTCTCCTTATATTTTTCAGGTGAATAAAACCTTAGACTATTACTGGAATCAACCTCAGCTAATTCAAGTTTGAAATGTCATTGTGGATGCTTATCAAAGCCGTGATAAGAACTTTATTAAACGAATCTCGACTGATTAACCAGGCAGCCTAGCTCCATGTGAACAATCCCTTAGACCACAGACATATGTTAACATGCAACTCAGCATGCTAAAGACGGTCAGGCTAGACATATTTACAAAACCAATGGCAAATTGCTAAACATCACGAGTGATATTATCATTCACATTACGACGTCGATATCGTAATCCGTGTCATGGAATGTATACCATAGAACGTAACAAAGACAATAGATCGTATTTTCTAGATGATTTAATATGGACTTTGTTCAGTATATATTAATTGAAACGCCCACGTAATAATATATTTTTTTTATTAATTCTTCAAGCATTTCAAAAGACAATAAACATCGAAAGGTTTTGGTTCAATTGATTGTCTCTTTTACAATTTAATACACATTGTAGCACTTTTGTACATGTCGGAATACACAACGTTGAGCGATCTCAGTAGAACCAGCCAGAAGCGTGAACTAGTAGAGTCGAGTTATATATCGTCCACGATTCTTGATCAATTGTTCAAGGACTCTTCAAGTGTTTCAACTCAGAAATATGTTTGGTGACTAATTATTTTAATTCAAGTCACATTTCGCTCAACTTTATTTCAAAATCATCTTGAAACGTCAACAGCAGAATGTAGCAATTGAGCAACATAACACCTCCGCTTTGTCTGGTCTCTGAGTCCGTGTTTGCTTGTTTTTATACTTTGCTGGTTTTACTTTGCTGGTTTAAGCCACAATTGTGACAACTGTCATACCACAATGCATCACCTTGAGATGTCAGTAGCTGAATGTACCAACAGCTCAGCACCATTCGAGTTATCCATCGCCTCGGCAAGTATTTCTGCAGTACTACTGGTCATCACTGTACCTACAAATCTACTGGTATGTCTGGCGATACTTGTGGACCCAAACCGCGAACTGAGGACACAATTTAACTGTTTTACTTTCAACCTAGGCTTGGCAGACCTTCTCGTGGGCTGTGTCGCAGAACCTGTGTCGATATACGCTCATATCACTGAAGCATTTGCCTCGGAACACAGCCACGAAGTTAGCCAAGTTATATTAAAGATGTTTCATATTCCCTACTTTATTTCCGCGATGGCAAGCGTGTTGAGCATTGCAGCTTTAGCATGCGAACGCAACTTGGCTATAAATTCACCGCTTCGATACAGAAAATACTTCAATGTCAAACTGACCCTCGTATTCTCAACGTTTATATGGGTCATTGCAATAATCTTTGGCCTACTAAATTTGCTGTTTGACTACATATTTGAAAGCTTTATATTTATCAATTCAGGCGTCTTATTCACTGGCGCTATAGTGTGTTTTGTCTACGGTAGAATACGGAGTAGTTTACGGAAGACGTCAAAGCAATGGACCAAGAATGGAACACAAAGGAATAGAGATATTGTGACGCAACTCAAACTAACAAAGACATTCGCTTTAATGATAGGAACACTCATGTTGTGTTATCTTCCAGCATGTTCAATGGTGTATTTTATAAATTTATGTACGAATTGCAACTGTAACCTCGTTCAATGGTTTCGTGATGCAGTATTCTGGTTGGTGCTACTAAATTCAGCAATCAATCCTTATGTCTACGCAGTAAGATCAAGTGTCTTCCGACATGCCATTAACAAGATCGTAAAATGCAGATGTCAGCATCCTAAGAAGCCTCGGACTTTTCCATCTATCCGGTATTCCAAGGTGAGAAGGGGTACATATGGTGCATTGGGTACAGATGGAGACCTTGTTTCATGTCAGGTTGAACACGCTTAATACATTTACTACCATTTGCGAGCTACCGTGAAACGTGCATTTATAACTACGTTTCAAAACGTTTCTTCAGCATGAGTTTGTCAATCTTAACTTTTTGTTTTGCCATAATAACTTCTGTGGGTGTGGTGTCGAGCGCATTGTTTTGCACGCGAAAATATCTTCTTATTTTTCACAAGGACGCGTTTATTACTGAGAAAATTACTATTTAATTAAAGCAAAATGACAGATTTATAGCACCTTCTGGATATGTTTACGTAACAAATCTCCTTTTGCGTTTTGATGCCAAGGTTTCGCGTGCAAAACAATACGTTTTATATCACGCCCACAGAAGTTATTATATGTCAAAACAAAATGTTTTAGGAGCAAAACAAAAAGTTTTGAATGACAAAATAATGCTGAAGAAACGTTTTAAAACCTTGTTATAAATGCACGCTTCACAGAAACTCGAAAATGGTAGTAAAAGTGGGTCATTCCAAAACATTTCCATACCTTCCCCATGGAGGATATTGGAAGTTAACCCCCTACCCTTCAGATTCCCTAATACACTTTAATACTATTATCAGAAAGAAATTTGTCTCCCTCCCTCCAGAAATTTCCTCCGTAGGTGGAGTGTGGATCTTTTGTGACATTTATAGTTAAGGATAGTTTCGTATTTGAGAATAAATTGAAAAGTATAAAAAGTTTGAAACTGATAATAAAATAAAGTTAAGAACTTACTTCTTTGTCGTATATTAAACATGTCCAAAAATTCAATGAGACTTTTTCTACCACATGTATCTTTCTATAATAAATATTAAAATCATCTTGTCATCTTTTGTTTGAGTGAACTTAAAAACACAAGTTTAGCAATTCCTTTGGATAAAAGTTGCAAATAATTTTTGCCAGCAATCAAATTATTAACCTTATGATATTCGATTCAAAACAAGAAATAACGTTTAAATAAGTTGTGAAAGCAATCAAACTTACATTCTTTGCATAACCGCTTTCCAGGTTAATGCCTTGAACAATACTTGTCCGTAAATTTAACGCTTTAATTTGATTAAATTCCATTTGAAACTGGGAGATTTTGAAAATTTTAAATTTTGCCGCCATGTTGTTGCCCATAGTTCATTGGACAGCAGTCTCTGAACTGAACAAAGTAAACTTCATCTTGCAATAATATAAACGAACAAAATATGGTCAAGGAAAGGTGGTGTTTGGGTGAGGGGTTTGCCCACCACACAATACAGGCCAACAGATACAACTGCAGAAATATAAGCTGGCAAGCAAATGAACATCTCTCAATTCTATTTATTTGACCACAAATACAACAACTACTTCCAAGGGCGTCGCCACGTCGGGGGTCCAGGCCCATGCCCCCTGGAAAAAATTTAAAACTAGAGTCTCTGAAATGCTATTTCCTGCACTTTAGAAGAAGATTTACAGAGTTCTAAAGGTAACAAAATGTCATAAAATATCTCAAATTGTTTTGTCTACATGCATAACTGAAATAATATCATATTTATTATTGACCATTGTTAGTAGCCCCCCCCCCCTTCTGATGCCCCTGACTACTTCATATAAAGGAAAGAGTTAACATTATTTCCTCACTCTAAATCTCTGAAGGTTGACCACCATCTGTTGCATGATAGTACTTAGTTTAAACCCATCCATATGGTCCAGGGTGCATTCCATGTAAAGTCTACGCCGAAGATACACCAATATTAACTATAGATAGTATTGTAATTTGCCAAACTCACACCGAAGATCTTCGGCATAGGCCACTTAAAATGCACCCTGGCATATGGTGTATACAACTGAGTTGTCAAGTATACCAATGTTCAGTGTAAAATGTACAATGTAAAGCAGTCTTTAAACCTGTGCAAAGTTTGCATGAAATTTTAGACTGCAAGCACAGACACACATCAGATGTCATAATTGACAAGAACAGTAAAAAATTTAATAGTGCTCACTTCCAAATACATGGTTTAATTTTCACTCTTGGGTACCAGTATTCTCTGAATTGATGAACATGACAGATGTATAGTTGCCCACGTGGACCTTAACAATTAGAAAACATATAGATGTTACCTATATTGCTTAGCTGAGTGCCTGCTTTGCAGACTACCTATTGCTGATTTGCTGGATTTCTCAGCAAGCTTGCAGTTGAGTGAGAAAATATGATCAATTCTTTAAATTATATGTGGTAGGCTAGTAGTTTTTATTGTTAATAAATAGAATTGATAGACATAGTTTAGCATTTCTGAAGTTCATTGCATTTGGACACAAACATCGCTTCAGTATAAAGTTTCCTTTAAACTGAGTCTACACACAGGAATGAACAGCTTCTACAAATTGACAGTCCAGTAAGGTAAACAGTTTTTGAAAGAGGTGAATTTTAATTAAAATGCACTTTGTTTAAATAAATCTTACTATATATTTAAAGTCAGAAAGTCTTGCAACACAATTTTGTATATGCATGCAATCACATGATTCAAATTAGTAAATATCATCCTGGCCATTGATATATATATATATACATATATATATAATAATACGATATATATATCATAATACGATATATATATAATATCACGGTAATACGTGAAACTTAAGTAGCAGCACATTAAATTTTTAAAATTTTTTTATTTTTAATTTTTTTCATTTTGAACAACATATTAAGCTCTGCGAATTTCCCGCATCGAGCACTGTACTCGTTTTGGCTTCAACAACCAAGCAAGTTATATATATATATATATATATATATATTATATATATATATATATATATATATATATATATATATATATATATATATATATATATATATATATATATATATATATATATATATATATATTGATGATCCTCTCCTGTCTCCATTCCATATATTAATTATTTACTTCTAGAATATAATATATTATTAATAAAGTACATAGTACGCCACTGCTGAAAACTCGCCTTTCAGATATCCTGGAAGGCTAAACCACTTTAATTAAATTTATATTATCTTTAGAGCAATATATTAAAGCAAATAATAGCAAATAAGTACACACTATTTGCCGTATTTGGTTTATAAGGCACACCAGGGCCAAGGGTGTAACCGATGTCGCTTGTCACTCATTTTGTAGCTGCTTTGTCGCTTGTTTTAATAAATAATAAATGTCACTGTCACTTTTGACCCATAACACAAATCACAATTTGTCGCTTTTTCCCAGTCAGAAGTTGTCGTTTATCGCTCTTTTTTAGATGTCTGTCGCCTCTTTTTAAAGAATGTCGCCTGTCGGTCATAACCCCTTGGCCTCGTTTATAGGTAATGTAGATACCTAGTAGATTCGGCCTGCAGTGTGCTGCATCCATGTAAAAGGAATGGCAATACAGGGCCGTAAATCAAGCATAGTTTATTTCCACTCATTACTAAAATGTTCAGCCCCATACTTCTTACATAGTTCTTCATAGTAAGGTACTATATCATACGTCCTATAATCTTCAGTCAATTCTTCTCCTATATTAATATCTCTCGTAGTATAATCAAAACCATCTTCACGTACAACTAGAGTTGGATTATCACAATGATTCACCATCATTGAGTCAAGCTCAACCATATCACTTTTCATCACACCATCCAAGCAATAATTATGTTCTAGCCACCATTTTCTTTGCTCGTCGTTTGGTACCGCTTCTAGAAACGCGTACGCCTCCTCCTTTGTAAAACTCGTTTCCACTAATTCATCTCTTTCGACCCGTGTCCCAGCCGATAGAAATTCGGCCGCAAACACACCAACCCCACGACCATTTGTAGACATTTTAAGATCAGCTTTGATACAAAAGCCTCTAGCCGGTCTTGGCACGTTTTTGAGAGTTTCTAAATGATCATTTACAACGTTGCTTTTCGCTATCTTTAGTATGTTGTCAAGGTAGTCGTCAGTTTTCTTCGCTTCTTGCTCAGGCATAGTATTCGCTGAATTATTGATGTATGTTGTATTTTGGCTCAGCTAGCGCTTACAGGAGACAAACTTGAGAAAATGAGTTTAGTCTAGTCACTCTTGAGTGTTTACAGTTTACACAATGTTGCATATTGTAACACGTGATTCAAATTGGCGTGACGGAGCATATTTGGTGTGGGGGCCCCTGTTGTCTCATTGTTTGACTGAGATATTATATTTATATTGAATATTTATAAAATGTTCTGGAAAATTCCATGTCTATAACAATAACAGTCTCCAACACATATAACAACTAATAAGAATAACATTTGTTTTATTCGAGATGGAATTAAAAAATCAGCTACCGTTGACGATGGAGGCTTTATTTATTTAGCATTTATATTAATTTTGCATTTCCCATTGATTCTTAACCTGCATTTTTTACATTTTCTAATTTTCAGGGCGATAGGCCGTGGGTGATGGGGCCCCTAACTGTCGGGGCCCCTTAGTTTTTGAACTAACCCTACCCAATGAGCGCTACGCCACTGGACTTGCAAAACATTGTCGCGTTAAGCCTGGTTCACATATACAGGGTGTATAAAAAAAACGCAACCTCGGAATTTCCTAAGAAATCACTTTGCAATTCTTAACCATAAAAGATTTTAGGCCCCTGGGAATTGAAATCGAATTGCTAATAGATCATATTACTGTTGTTGTGCATTAAATAAATGTATAAATTTTGCTTTATGCACTCGCGTGTGCAGTAATTTTGACAGTTGTGCTATTTTAAATTCCCAGGCGCCTAAAATCTTTTGTCTTTAAAACAATGTCGATTTCTTGGGAAATTCCGAGGTTGCGGTTTTTTTTATACACCCTGTATGCCTGCGACGTACCGGCGACGATGCCGGTGGTAGCTTAAAATTATGTGAATATTTGTTCGCCGATTGCCTCCAGTGCCACAGTTACATCGGCGGTAGGCTGGGAAAGTTGAGTTGAGTTCAACTTTGCCGGTATTTCGGCGGCAAGTAGAGGCATAATGATACAGTCGCAGGCATATGTGAACCAGGCTTTAGAGTATATTATTACTTTTGAAATAATATGATTGTAGTTTATTTCCACTCATCACTAAAACCTTCAACGCCGTACTTCTTACATAGTTCTTCATAATAAGGTACCATTTCATACGTCCTATAATCTTCAGTCAATTCCTCTCCTATATTAACATCTCTCGTAGTATAATCAAAACCATCTTCTCGTGTAACTACAGTCGGATTATCACAATGATTCACCATCATATTGTGTCAAGCTCATCCATATCAGTTTTCATCACACCATCCAAGCAATAAATATGTTCTAGCCACCATTTTCTTTGCTCGTCGTTTGGTGCGGCTTCTAGAAATGCGTACGCCTGTTCCCGTGTAAAAGCCGTATGGACTCGATCAGTCTCTATCCGTGTCCCAGCCGATAGAAACTCGGCCGCAAACACACCGACCCCGCGACCATTTGTAGACATTTTAAGATCAGCTTTGATACGAAAGCCTCTAGCCGCTCTTGGTAAGTTTTTGAGAGTTTCTAAATGATCATTTACAACGTTGCTTTTCGCTATCATTAGTAGGCTGTCAAGGTAGTCGTCAGTTTTCTTCGCTTCTTGCTCAGACATGATAGTTCACCAGAATAAATAATTCAATATAAAAGCCAAAAGTCGTCAAGGATTATGCAATATATTGTGCTTACACATGTGCAGTTACAAATTAAAAATTCATTAATAATAACTCATGAGTAAAAGACAAAGGAATCGCTACCAGTGGTTCTATGTGATAAAAAACATGTTCATTTACACAAAGTTAGCTTTTATTTTCTCGGCTTAGACACGGTTTATTTCTAAAATTTAACTTCCCCAATGAAGAATGAACTCATCAGATATGGGTGGTTTTTTAAGCCATCCCAGATCCCAGTCCGTGCTTGATCGCATGAGTAAAACACTTGAGCTGCACTCCTAATTGACATGAGGACATTACATATTCGGAAAAGGTTTGTGCAGTATAAAGCGTTTAAAGGACAGCAGATTGTGGAAAACTTCACAACTGTTCATATTAAAAGCTATTTTGTACTAAAAGGTTAGCTCAGGTACGGTGAGCAAGAAATTGAAAATCGGCCACTAAATCATTATGGTTATATTTTGGAGGCAAGGTAAGAGTCTCACCCCCCTGAGATCCCCTCTTCGACCCCACCTCCCTGCAATTACCTTTAATCCAGACAGGCGTTCTTGAATCGTGCATTTGATGTTGTCTTAATAAACGATTGTTTGGGTGACTTTCTCGTTTCATTTTATTCAGCTTGGCTTGGTTCATTGTAAACCAGAGTTTCTTGCAAGCGCCTTTCTTCTCCAACAAGGCGACCAAGGATTTCAACGCTCTCTCTCGTACCGTGTCATACTGATTGGAGCGAGCTCGTGCAACACATCTCGTGCGTCCTGCATGAAGAGAAAGTTTATATTGCGTCAATTTCCATATTAGCAACCACGCACGTAGGAGCAGGGGCCGCGGCCCGCTCAATATTTCACAAAGGGGGTTCGGAATAGCTTTTCCCGTCCCCCCCCCCCCAAAAAAAAACAAAAATACACTCGAAAAGTTCAGAAAAGTTGCGGTAATTAGGCCAATTAATCCATCCTAATCATGGATAACATAGACTCACAAATCACAAAACAAGAGCCAAACAAAAGAGGTAGAACATGCCATTTTCGACTCACTGAAGACTCAAAATTTTCCAGCTCGCCTGCGGCCTGTTAGGCCACCTCAGTTTATTCTAGTTTATTCAGTGATACTACAGGAGTTAAACTGAACTGACTTCAGGCCCATTTCAACTCAGGAAAGGGCCGCAGAAAGAAATGTGGCCGAAATTTTGCGCGTCGGAAAATATTTTGAAGTTGAAAATTTTCAACTTTTAACAATGATATTTTCGGAAAACTTTCAGTCCGTAGAAATTTTTCTTGAGTGGAAATGGGTCTTTTATAGAGGTCCAGTAATGGTTATCCCTTGTTGACCCTGTGTTACTACAGGAGAAAACTGCAGTGCGTTTGCAGAATACAAAGTCGAGTCAAATCCGAGTCCAAGTCAAATCCGAGCCCGTGTCAAATGTCCTGACTTAGTACCCTAACCCTACTCCTAACCCTGTTCGACTGTGACTCGGACTCAGATTTGACTTGGTAAATGGATTTACTCCATACTAAACTTACCTAAAAGCAGGTCAACAGTTTCAACTCTGGAATTTTTCGCCGCCATCAATAACGGTGTCCTGTCTGAAGGTTGAGCTTCAAATGCTCGAACGTTTGCATTCATTAAAGCTTGAACAATTTCATTGTGGCCTCGATGTGATGCGATGAACAAAGCCACAGAACCCTTGTCTGCAGCACTTGGTTCAATACGGTATGAAATTCTTGCAGCTGCATTTGATAACTTCCTTGCACTTATGCCACAACTTAGGACGGCTACAAGAAAACGTGAAGGTCTGTAATGTAGGTAGTATTCTAGAACAAGTTGCCGTGGTTTGTGTCTGAATTGCCTGAAGAAGATATCTCAAACGCGAAGGTCTGTAATGTAGGTAGTATTCTAGAAGAAGTTGCCGTGGTTTGTGTCTGAACTGCCTGAAGAAGATATCTCAAACGTGGTGGTCCAGTGTACGTAGTATTCTACAATAAGCTGCCGTGGTTTGTGTCTGAACTACGTGAAGAATCTCAGTCTGACCAACACCTTAATTAACAAAATATGTTTTAACCTTGCAAGTCTCCTTTGCAAACAGCTCGGATAAGTGGGCGCCATTCAGGCCAAAAACACATTTTGATGACAGCGTTTGGAGTAAGATGATAAAATGATAGGTTGGCGTAATCTTCCATGTCGCACTCGTCAATATAGCGTAGTCGCTGAAGTTGTCTGCCGCGGAAAAAAATAAACTCAGGTTATGTTTTCTATGTATTCATTGGACAAATTATAAATTTTTCCTCAGTTAAAACTTGCCGTGGAATGCCCGTTTTCTCTTCAGCTCTGTCTTTCAACTCAAAAACTGTCATCTCGGTTGATATATCAACTGCATATTTCTCTTTTGAAAGAACTTTCAGAAATATGGTAAAATTACGAGACTTGTCCACTTTCCTGGAAGTCATCACGATTTGAATTTAATGCGCTCATTAGTTAGTCTGACGTCATGTAATTTGGTCTACTTTTGCTGCAATTCCTGGAAAAAAAGATATTGAGATGTGTGTGGTCATTTTTCATAAAAAAGAAAAATGGGTATACTACAGCTATAAACGTACAAAGTTGTCCTTCAGTGGCCAAAAGCTACTGTTGACAGTAAAGCAAATTTTAATATAAAAACTAATAAAAATATAAATTGCCATTTGGGCGGTTTGTACTACAAGTGCAAGAAAATTTTATATCGTTCTTAATAGGTTTATTGCATAGCGACAAATATATTTTGCCCTGTATGTGAAGATCCCGGGTAATACAATCAAAGCTTTGCTTAATATTTTTCACAAAACAAAACAATTCTTAGTAGTACACATTCGTTTCAACAATATTCTTTCATTTTGAAATGATTGCTTTCACCTTCCGTTTTCCCCAGCAAACTAATTTCCGAAGTCCAAATTGGTCGCAAAAGTCTGTAAATGAATCCTTTGAAACATAGGAATTTATCCCATGTAAATATAATTCTTTTTAGGATAGAAGAACGAAAGGTCTTCTGCCAAATCCAATTTTTTTCCGAATTCTGAAAACATTACTCATTAGGGAACAGTTAAAAAAGGAAAAATTTGTTAAATAATGCATAAGGATATTTGTCTGATACAAAGATTGTCTTTTTACAAAACACATTGCCCATAAATGGTTAATTGTGTTAAATTTTTATTTCTCAATATAAGGAGAGCTCTGCAGCTCTGCTGGCTTTGATAGTTCAATTCCTGCCCCTCCTCCCCCCGGAGTTCCACTTTCGGTAAAAACCTAAGTCCAAACAATCGCTTGTCACTTTTTGCTAGTTGAAAAACAAACTTCCAAATCATAGTTACTCTTTAATATTAAAGGATAAAATAATAACAAAATACCTATTTAGTTTTAAAATATGAAAGGTATTTGTCTAATTAGTCTAAAGCATATTTGAAGGAAAAAACTTTTCCGAGTTCCGGAAACCAGGGGGGGAGGTTAAAACTAAATTGAAACATAACTGTGGTCTGGGGCCCTGGGCCGAGTACAGGAGGAAGTGCTTGTCAAGGGTGGATTGTGTTGTATATTTCGGTTTTTGTTGAAATTTCTTCAAAAATAATGGCCAAAGCATCGTTATCAACGCAATTTAGGAAAGTCGATGTCGATGAATTAGACGAGAATCAATTTCAAGACGATCAGGGCGAGGATGCAGCAGAAAGCGGGCCGAATGAAAGCGAAGTGAACAACCTCATTTTACAGTATCCTTTTATACAAACAAAAGTATTTACGCCAAAATACGAATTACTTCACGTTAGGATTGTGTACGATCGTGTAGAACATAAGTATGGACCTATATTTGGAAAGGCTAGTTTTTGGAAAGATTTTGCACAGTTTTAATGCTTATTTTAAATGTCAAAACATAAGTTATACTTAGCATCAACTCAATATCTCACGGGGGGGGGCTTAACTGTTCTCTTATTGCTTCCTTGGTTATAACCCTGCTCATTGCCACAAAGTATGGGAATTAAAATCATGTTATTCTAACCTTAACATGCGATAAAGGAAAAACAACAAAGAAGCTCTTAAGGCAGTTCTTGGAAACCCACCACTAGCATCAAAGAATCAATCAACAAAGGTTAGTCATTACAAACTGGTTGAGAATGTCCAGGAAGCCCAGTTTCAAAGAAGACTAAATACCATTGAGACTGACAAAACTAGAATAAATATTTAAATCTAGTAAATATTTAAATTCTTATTCCAGGACAAAGCATTCAGTCTGGTAATGAGAGTATTACAGGCGTTTAAAGGAAGCGAAATTGAGGCGGGGATAAAAGTACTAGACAAAACCGAAGTGGATGTTCTAATGAAATATATTTACCGAGGTTTCGCACAATCGTCAGACAATGCAAGCGCTATTCTCTTGGCTTGGCATGACAAGGTAAGTTTGGCAATTTAACAAACCAAATATGTCCCCTTTGTATCGCAAGATTGCCTTCTGTTATTGATGGTTAACTCCAGTCATCTATAGAGTTCTCAGGCACATCCTCATGTTGTTTTCTGGAATTCTGGTTGACTTTCCATTTTTAATACTTCCAAATGTAAAGGGTTAAGTGCAAGATTAGGAATGTATTTAAATTGTTTTCTGATTTTTTTCCTCATTGCATTTGTTGTAGGCTGTCGCAGTTGGTGGAATCGGGGCAATTGTTCGTGTTATGACAGATAGAAAAACAGTTTAAAATCTACCCTGTTCATACCTGTCGGGTTAAATCTGACTTGGAAAACAAGCAGACATTTTATAAACTCAATTATTCACCATAATATTACAATTTCATTAACCTGATAAATAATTTTCTATCGACAAAATGTTTGTAAATTTATATTGTTCTACTATGAATAAAACTATAACATGCTATAATGTCTAGTTGGTTGCCCATATTCAATTAAATACTGCCAAAAAGCATTTTAGGTTGATAGCTCATCACCTAAATTACAGAAAGTATAATTGGAACTAATAAGTATAGAACAAAGTCATTACATCATAATTGAATTTCATTGCAATTACCCAGCAAATTAACTCCTAATTAGCTATAATTTTAATTTGAGATAATTCTTGCATGGTATCTAATTTGAAGTTGCAATGATTCATTAATTAAACAGAAAAAATTGCAGCAAAAATTAAAGATGAAAACATTTCTTTTATGGATTTTGTTTGCTGCGCTAATTTGGCTGTCCAACGCAGAAAAAATTGAAGAAACTAGCATACCAGGAGAATCGACTAAAAGTGAATCAAATGGTGTGGTTGAAACATCTTCCAGAAAACTTGCATCCACACCAAAGAAGCGCAGAAAGAGATATGCTTACAAGTTACCTTGGAGAAAAGATGAATTCACGTACTCCATTCTCAAATACACGCGAGACCTCCCAGCACGAGTTCAAGAAGGAGTTTTTGGAAAAGCGTTTAATATTTGGCATGAAGCTGCTCCACAATTGAAATTTAAATTCAAGCGGAATGAGCCCAAAGCTGATTTCAAGATCTCGTTTGTGAGAGGCGCTCATGGCGACGCCCAGGCATTTGATGGCAGAGGGCCGCTTATCGCGCATGTTTATGCTCCAGAAGATGGAAGGATGCATTTTGATGACGACGAATGGTAATAATAGCTCATTACATGTGGATTGAATACATTTAATTAGCTTTGCCAACTAGGGCAGGGTCACCACAACAGCATATGCCAATTACTGTGCCTGTGGGCCCTTTTTACCTAACCCACCCTGTCAACTTTCCCTGTGGGAGGAAACCGGAGTACCCGGGGAAAACCCCATTGGAAAACCCACGACTTTCGACAGAGCGTTGACGTTTTACTCTTTTCACATGAGGACTGGGTTCGAGTCTTGAACCTGCAAGTGCGCAATCTCGTTCCCCGAGCCTGCGATCCTCGGGAAGGAACGCGAGGCTCTGGGATAATCCGTTTCAGGGAGGAATCTGATTGGCCGTTGAAATGGAATGCGTAGTTCAATCTTAGCGATGATTCCGGGCTTCCGGCAACGGATTATCCCAGAGCATCACGTTCCTTCCAGAGGATCGCAGGCTCGGGGAACGAGATTGGCAAGTGCGCTAACCACTTGGCCACCGAAGCCCTCATATCATATATTTCCAAAATTATCGGGGGGTAGCCAGCCGCAAATGAATGGGGAAGGGGCGTCCAATAGACAGCCGGAACTATGCATTTTAGACACGTTTTATGATAATCTAAAGAAAGCAAAAGATTTGGTACATTTTATGTCATATACGTAAAAGCATTCTAGCTTTGGAAGAATTTTAAAATTGGCCCTGATGAAAAGTGGGGTGGGTGGACCCTCCATTCCCCCACGTGGTTACGCCTCTGCTGGCTTGCGAGGTCGACTGTATAGTGTAGGTAACAGCTTATCTCCCTAGGTTCACAGATAAATCAAGATACGGCACGAATCTGTTATCCGCTGCAGTTCACGAAGTGGGCCACGCTTTAGGGATGGGTCATTCAAGAAAGAAATCCTCCATGATGTACAAGCTATACCGCAAATACAGAGGCAAGGATGTAGAGCTTGATTCAGACGATATCAAAGGCATTACAAAGTTATATCGTATTCGTCCAAGTGATCGTGGAAATCCAAATTGCAAAGACAAGAATCGCAGGATGTGCGAGAATTATAAAGAAATGGGATATTGTGCAGCGGAATACAAGGCTGTGATGAAAGAATACTGCCAGTTCACTTGCGGTCTCTGCGACTCTTGAATGAAGATGACAAAAACTCAAGATCTTTTTTCAAACACTATACTCCTTATTTTTATGCAGAACTTTTTACAATACACAGATGAATGAGCGGCTGGAACAGTACCATAAATGAAAGTGACTGTGTCATCTTTTAAAACTCTCTACACTGTAATATATCTTCTTTTGAAGAATAAAGCATTTCTCATTTTTTAAAACAAAACCATGTTTCATTGGAATTGCGTGCAAGGGAATTACGTTTTCAAGAGAATATTACTGTTGATCGAAACAATAGTATTCTTCTGATTTTCGAAAAGTACAAATTTTACTAACAATTACATTTACCCACTAAATTAGGTAAACGGCTCGCACCCCGAAATAATTTCAGCAGGCAAGTCAGTCCACAACTGATTTAAAAACAATGCAAGCACACAAGTACATAGATCTACCTTTATTTTTTTACTCCCCGTATTTAAAATGAAAGACTAAAAGACTTTAGTGTTATGTATGGAGGTAGAGCGCTTTAGTACATATACTGTACATTCACAAACAGTAAAAAGCCGAGTCGTTTTTATCAGGTTTGCTGAGAGTATGCAAACATGGTTTACTTGGCGTTTAATATAACTATAAGTGTGTCGAGATGTGTAATTGTGACAAGAATGCCAATCAGCGGGCTTGTTCCACTACAAATGAAGAGAGAAAATACTTTAATTACGATCAGAGAAAGGATACGATAAAGCATGAGCAACTGGATGGTATACACAAGCATTTCAGGGACGGTTGTTCCAAGCTGGACAGCGCTAACCCGGGGTTAAAATTTAGCCTGCTGGGGGCGGTTGTTCAAAAGACGATTAGCTTAATCCTAGGTTAACCTAAAATTCAAAGCAAGCTTTCCAACAGCTCGGTTATAAATTTGGAAATATTTCTTCAGAAATCTTGTCTGGATCAATGAAAGTTTTCTTCTCTGAAGTTTGGAAATAAATAGACGTGCAGAAATACATAAACTAAATATTTAACAGCAGGTTAAAATTTAACCCAGGATTTTATAGTTTACGTATTTCTGCACGTGTGTTTGTTTCAAAACTTCAGAGAACAAAATTTCTATTTGATCCAGACAAGATTTCTGAATATTTATGAACAAGCTGTTACGAAGTTTGTTTTGAATTCTAGCCTAGGGTTAGCGCTAATCCAGCTTTAAACAAACCGCCCCAGATTAAAAGGTCGTGATTGAATAGCATTGTTACCGTATTTTTTTATCTACTTGAATAGCCAATTAAATGCGTAGTGTGGTAGGGGAAGTGAAATCTAAATCTCTCTATTGTTACGTACAGCATCAAGTTGAGCAACCACTTGCTGTGATACTTACAGTACGATGTAATGTCGATCTCTTGCGGTAGTTCACCGATATTCACTTCAAATCTATCCTGAACATCATTTAAAACTTTCGCATCAGTTTCATCCGAGACGAACGTGACGGCGAGACCCTTCGTGCCAAATCTTCCAGCACGCGCGACCTGAAGAAAAACAACGAAGTCAGTTTTAAAAAGCGAATGGCAAAGCATTCTTCAAAAATTTCCGTGACAGTGGGAAAGAGAATATACACGAGCAATTGGCAAATTTATAATACATGTTCTACTTTAACCTGTAACTTTTTCAACAAATGTTTTACTCTAACCAGTAACTTTTGCATTCGTAGTAAACTATTGTAGTAAATTAACATATTATAGTAAATTATCCAAGATCTATGGCACACTTTATGGACAATCGTAATAAATTGCGTGTGTGGTTGGCTCCCCCTCCCCTCTTAAGAACATATCACATATGCTTGGCCGTTGATCAAGATGAGACAATGTTCTACCTACCCTGTGTAGGTATGTGTCAGAGTCTTCGGGCATGTCATAGTTGAACACGATATTAACACGTTCAATGTCCATCCCTCGACCAAAGAGATTTGTTGCCACCAAGATACGCTTCTGGAAATCTTTGAACTGTTGGTAGCGCGACAACCTGTGAATATCAATTAATATATAGTATAATTGCAACATTTATTATGAATATCAATTATACTATAATTGCAACATTTATTATGAATATCAATTATTTGCTTTAATTGCAACATTTACGTCGCAATTATAATTAGCACATTTTGCCCAGTCTAGGTATTACGGCTCTTCTCCACTCAATGCAAAAACTGATTCGCTTGCATCTAGCAAGGCCGTCGGAAGCAGGGGCTTGAACCCAATAATTCCATTTGTATAAGCAAAACACACAAAAGAACTAGAAAAGTGCGAAAGCAATTTAGATTTATTCTTGAGCCCCCCCCTCCCAAATGTTGATTTACTTGCGACGGCCTTGTCTAATTACAATAACTGTAAAGCATTGTGATTGGTTGAAAGGGAGTTTGACATGTACCTCTCTTCCTGTGGCATTCCTCGGTGAATGGCAATTGCTGGGAAATTCTGTTCCACCAGCAACTGTGCCAGAGCCATACATCTTTGTATGGACTTGACAAAGATTATAACCTACACCAATCAATGGAAAAACATGTTTGAATGAGTAAATAGTACAGTCAAGTTTTACTAAAATAAATAAACGCTATCAGTAGTGATGGACAAATGGAAGTCATCAGAATAAGAAAATAATTAAATAATTTTGTGTTTCCAATTTATGTCAAGGATCACACATATTGATATTTTTACTTTAGCAAAAAAATATTAGAGAAAATATTTGTCTTGTATATTTTGGTATGAACATCCTGTTTGTGCTTATTCCATTTGATACGATAATATATTAATTATATATAATATCCATCCATTATATATGTAATGTATAAATAAATATTTGAAGTGAAAAATATAGAAGTGTAGTGTCAACATATTGGTAGTTGACCACCATCTTAGGCATTTATGATCCAATAACACTCACTAACGCAAACAATTACCATTATTTCACCACAGCTCATATCAGAGGATTAAAAATATTATTTCACCTGGTTAAACTCGAGAAGATCTAGGAGATCAAAAAGTTTACGATTTTTTTCATTATCACGAAGTTTTACATAATACTGTTGTAGGCCATGAAGAGTTAGCTTTGTCTCGTCATCAACGTAAACTTCCATTGGCTGAAAAGGTAGAAAGGGTTAACGAAAGCCAACAAAAATGCTATAGTAAAATAATGAAGGAACAGTACTTTAGGGGATGAAAACTCTTCAAATTGTACTTTACTGAAAACACGCTTTGTGAGTGAAATTGAAAACCAGTTGTCAAATTCAACTTTACGTAGATTAAATTAGTTAAGTCAGAATGTGTTTTTAAAAAGGGCGGTTTTTTTAGTAGGCCAAATAGATTTAACACACTAGCAAATATAACTAGTTGTAAAATGAACTGATTTGAAAGGTACTCAAACTGTCAAAAATCTCAACAAATCAGTGCAAGGATGGTATAGAAAATAGCACACATGTTTGTGAAGATTGTGCTTCAGTACTTTTCAAAACAGTGTTACATTACTCCACATGATCCCATTGAAGGCTTTCATGCAGACGACGGAGAAACTCTCTCTGCCAGACAAACAGTGGTCGTAGCACTTTCTCTCGACAAGGCTTCTGTTGACACATCAGCACCATCACTGTTGTGGTACGGAAGTGACCATTCACCAGAGTGGACCATTTTCACTTTATAATCTGACAGGATACCAGTGGCAATCTTCAATGAAGTTGACACCACTTGCATCGTTGAAGCACAAACAACCAAGTCTCACCACAACTGTGTTATCCAAATGTAAAACCCTCACCAAAACCAGCAATCAATCTTAAACCAATCCACCATCAAATATCCCCAACCCACCACCATACTTTAACTTCAACACAACATTTTTAACCCAATCAAAATTGACTGTAATCCAAAACCACCCAACCTTTCTCACCACAATTTTGACCTTGCAAAATTTACCATCAAAAACTAACATCAAAAACCTACCATCAACAAACCACACTATTGATGACCAAAGCATTGCAAACCACACTCATAATCAACACTTCACAACATCCTTCACAAAATACAACTAACACAAGCCCCAAACTGAAAACCACAAAACACTTCCAAGAAAACACAACCCTCCAGCAACACAGCCCTCTTTAGGCCGAGCACCATCAACATTCCTTCGACGAACATAGCCAATCACCGGTGTGGGTTTCTACTAAACAGGAATGAGAGAACTTAGAAGTGACATAATTACATCTTGCATAAATTTCTTGCAGATTGGTCGGATCTCTTTAGCAAGTGTGGCACTAAACATCATCACTTGCTTCTCGTGTGGCGTCGTACGGAATATCTCCTGAACATCTCGACGCATGTCTAAAATAAAACAACACAGCAGATGCGAGTTAATTAAACCATAGTTCTTTCACACTAGGTTACTATTACCATGGATAATAAAATAAATGGATAGGAAACTAGCTGACGTGACCTAATGTTTTCAATGGACTGATGGCGTGATTGGATGTTGAAACCTAGTTGCAAACCAAATTCTCAAAAACGGCATGTTTAGCAATAATACAGCTAAACATTTTATAGTCAAAGAGCAAATGAATATAACTACGCCATTCTACAATGAAATCTCTAAGTATTCCCAGTCAATTTTAGCGAATATTTCAAGCACTAAACAGTGAAAAATGCATCCCAAATTTCGTTAAAATTGGGGACGTCAATTTCGTAGCTACAAATGTAAAAAATACAAAACAAAGACGAAGAACATTTACCTTGAATACTTTGTCGTGGCTTAGGCATGTTTTTGAAACAATTAGACCAGTTCATGCTTCAATATTACTCTTTTAAAGCAGAAAGTCTAGCAAAACAACAAAAATGCCGAGAACTTTGCAATATGTGTGACGTCACAGATTGCAACTAGCTTGTTTTTGCTTACGTCAGCTAGAGTCCTATCCATTTATTTTATTTATCCATGCTATTACTAAAGCCTGAATCAAACAAGGGTGAGAGCCACACAACCTTGGTTAGCTGTTCTTAATGCTTTCTCAACACTATCATGTATTCTAGGCGTAAAAAAATACCTGTGGTTCTGGTTCCCGACCGACCCTATTTTTTTCTGCCGACCCTATTATTTTTTCAACACGATTGACTGTGCGACCCTATTTTCTCCAGGTGGTTGCGGGCTGCTTATACCACATGCCAAAATGGCATCTGTTGTCACACTAATTAATGAACCAAATTGCCTAAATTCGTCCATAGGAAATATGCATATCTAATTAATATTGATTCCGGGACTCTACTGCAAATCGCCCAGCAAAAAAAGCCAAAACCATAAAAAAAATATTCAAAAAGAAATTTATTTCCGACCTACCAACCCTAATTTTTTCACGATATGAAACTGGAACCACAGGTTTTTTGTTTACGCCCTATTTAAGTTGAAACATAGTTGGAACACTTATCAAACCTTTATTTTGTTAATCTAGAGTTATGTGTCCCCCATAACAATGCATGACTTGGCACTGTCATGAATCCTCATTTGACTGGGGCTTTTGCTCAGAACATCAAACTGGTTTAAATTTTTAACACAATCTTTAGTGAACTTATGTTTTCAGTAAAAAGTGTTATTTTCTGCTGGTTGAGGTATGAAAGAAGTGGAAAATGTTTTCTCACACACTGCGGCTGCTCCCAGAGGCGTGTGAGAATTGCATCTTTCTCAAAGTTTCCAAGCTTCATATCTTACCAAGTTGTTCAAGCATCTTATCGCACTCGTCAAGAATGAAATGCTTGATGTGCTTCATGTTCAACGACTTGTCTCGTGCCAAGGCGAGAATCCTTCCAGGTGTACCGACCACGATGTGGGGACAGTTAGCCTTGAGTGTCTGCTGATCATTTCTGATGTTAATACCGCCAAAGAAGACGCCAACCTTGATGTTGTTCATGTATTTTGAGAACCTTGGTAGAAACACAAGAAATTAATCAAAGTTCAAATTAGAGAGGATGAATTGATTTAGAAGTGTTGATACATTTATTAGATCTAACCAGGAACAGTTGTGAAAAATGCAACTATAGACTCTGGCAGGAATTGAACCTGCGGTCCTGCATTTCCAATGCAGTGCACTAAGGTGAAAAAAAATATGTGGGTTTCTGGTTTCTTCTTATAAAAACTTAGGTAGGGTAGGTCGGTTTTAACTTTTTTTTTTTAATTTTCCTACCCGGATGCCGTTTTGTTTAGTCAGTGCTTCCACATCCAAATATAAATTTCCTTAATATTGCCTCAAATTTCAATTTTCCACAAACGTTTTCCTCTAAGTGGAAACGCTTACAAGCATGATCCAATTTAAAAAAGTTTAGGGTCGGGATTTCGACGTCCAAAAGCTAGGTAGGGTCGGGAAACCGGAAACCCACATATTTTTTTTTGCCTAACCAACTGAGCTACAGAGTCCAGTTGTCAAGCTCTAACCACAAGTTAAGCTATATACACTAAGGTGATCAATATTCACAACCTACCTCTCGTACTCCTTACAGATTTGGAATGCCAGTTCGCGGGTGTGGCACAGAACAATGACGCCAACCTGACCATCAACTGGCTCAAGTTGTTGTAGGGTGGCCAACACAAACACAGCAGTCTTACCCATACCACTCTTTGCCTGACAAACAATATCCATGCCAAGGATGGCTTGAGGAATGCATTCATGTTGGACTAGAATAAGAGACAAGATATTGGATATAGACTCACAGGAGCGGAGGGGTTAGGTGTACATAGGAAAAAACTTAAACTTGAAGGGGCACTCCATCTTAAGGGCACTGCTCTTATTATAAAAGGAGGGTTTTCACATTGTTTAGGGTTGGGTAAAGGGCACATCGATGACTTGAGGTGCATATGCCTGCACCCTCCCAGTTGCTACACCACTGGGGAGAAACCAGGGACCATCCTGACTGGAAAGTTTTGAAATTGCACAACCAAGATTATGCAAAAAAGCATCAAAATTGCACGCCCGGTATCTCAGTTGCACAATACAAACTTTCCACACTGGGGGACCACGGTGGAAATATTTGGCGTACAAGTATATATTTTTACACCAGTTTGGCACACACCAAACTGATTTCTAGAAGAAACAATAGCTTGTGTTGTATTTATGTCAATCTGACTGGCATGCAAATATCACATATGCATCAACTTGGCATAAATATTTGGCACATGAAAAACAAATTTTCCATTATGAATGAGGGAGGTTGCATGTTGAGACAATGTTCACTTCTTTATTTGGTTACGGCATAAAGAAAAACCAGCTGGTTACAATGGGTATGTATTTATATAGTTGGGGTCGAGGCTGGGGTAAAGTTTATAGTTTGAACTTTGAGTTCAAATATAATTTTATTTTTACAATATTAAATGTAGTGAAATATAAATAGTTAACATGAAACTAAATATCCGAATGATAATCCAAAACAACACTTCAAAGCAGCATAACAAAGAACGTGTAATAATACCTTCACTAGGATGTTCAAAACCGCAATCAAGAATGGCTCGAAGTAACTCTGGCTTTAAGAGAAAATCTCTGAAACCAGAACTATGTATACTGACGTATGCTCCCTTCACGTCCTTCTTCGTGTCCTTAACTGCAACTGTGCCAGCATTAGGGGCTTCAGCTTCTTCCTCTTCATAATCTAACAATTCAGAAACATCGCCATCTTCGTGATCTGCAGCCATCTTGATATTTCTTTGAGCTGAATATTTTAACAAATTCTTCTTTCAAACAACGAATTGAGTACAAAAAACGCGTAGAATATATCGCGGTAATGATTCAAGATGTTAAAAAACCACAAAATATTGAAGGATGGATCTAAAATAATAAGATATTTGAAGGATTCTAATACCTTTTAGTTAAGTGCAGCTGAAATTTACAACGAGAGAAAGAGGAATGCCTTGCCGTCGTCTCAGAATTTCAGCGGTTTCAACCATGGCGGGCAGCCCTGCATGCGGGTTGGGACACCCCGCTTTTCACACACGTGGTCGTCTTGCGTGACTATCTCGCGTGTTGCCCATGCGTGCTACTCTCGCGTGGTATTCACGCAAGGCTATTGATCTCAAAGAAACACTAGATAGACCATTGCTTAATTCCGTGAAAACTTGATCGAGCGGATAATATTTTAACTATGTATATATTAGATATTAACTATGTAAAAGTTACGGCTATCACTGAAAAGACTTTAGTGACATAGTATTCTATCCACTAACCGAACATCTACTCAATAGACTACAGCGAATACAGTACTCAGCTGCTAGTTTTGTGACTGGACGTTATGTAATATTGAATCGATTTTAAAATTGGGTTGGTTACCCATGCGAGAACGAAGGGACTGGCATATTCTTAAAGCCGCACATAAGGCGTTATATAGTAGCGATTGGCCGGCTCTCTATGTTAGCCTTGAAAGATCTGAACACACACGTGTTTTACGGTCTAATGCTCAAGTCAATTTAGTTATACCTTTAGTTTCTAATACCTTTCAAGATTGTTCAGCTTCATTATTTAATTCTCTACCAGCTGATGTAAAATCATGCACAGATCATAGAGACTTCTCCAGACAAACTTTTAATATTTTAAAGCAATGCTGTCTCACTATTTAATTGTAATGCTTAGGTCTAGGTTTACAACTTTCTTACTATTTCTTTAGATATTGTAGTAGTAGTTTTATCAGGTGAAGAGCCATTGTATGGAAATACTGATAATAAATCATTATTATTATTATTATTATAACTATGTAAAGCTATGTATATATTTTATGTTTGTTAAAGAGCACTGATCTATTATTAGATATTATTAATAAATAAAAACCCCATCAGGTCAAACAGAATTGGTTTGGTGGTCACTGTCGACACTTATAGGAGCAAGGACATTTACATTAGTAAAGCTCTAAGTTATGTCTATTTGCTTCCAAATCCAAGACTACAACATAAAAGAATTTTGATAACTGCTGGTTGACAACCATTTGCTGTGCGACATAGACCGCGAGCAGTCCCTCCGGAGAAAGGAGGGACCGCTCGCAGTCTAGTGCGATAGTGCTTAGTGAGACGACAGTCACACCGACACAACTAGTCTTGCCACCTCAATCCAGAGTTATCCCAACAGAAGAGAGAGCATTCACAGCCCATGGTGGAAAGTTTTTATCTGGATATAACAAATTAAAACGTTTCTTAACGAAGTCTGGAAATTTGTCGTTCATAATGCTATCACGCATCTCTTTCATTAATCTCATCTAAACAAAGAACACAAGATCATGATTATGTGTGTTTATTTGATAATATAAATCAAGAACTAACTTATCTACTACTTATCATTTCTAAACTGTTCTCCCTAGAGGTCCAGCAAGAGTCAATCCTTATTGATCCAGTGGTACTACAGCAGGAAACCTGAACTAAACTAACTTTATTTATACTGGATAGCTCTATCAGTTCTAAACTGTTCTCCCTAGAGGTCCAGTAAGAGTCAATCCTTATTGATCCAGTGTTACTACAGGAGGAAACAGACGGACCCAGAAAATGTGTGGTGTTTGGTCAAAATTGAATTGATTATATATTCATACCTGGTAATAGATATTATGGACTGTAATAAGATGACACCCGACAGCTTCACGACTGAACAACGAGTGGACGTAAGCTCGCGAATGTTTCCGACAAGTTGAACACAGACAGTCACTTTCTATTGGAGTAAAATCGCTCGCAAATTTTTGTTGTCTTAACGACAGTTGACCTGTTGCTGTCAGAGCGGTGCCAAAACGCTACAAAATAAAATATTAAAATAAAAAATACAGCAGAGATCAAAGTGTCCGTATTAGAGAGGTGTCTGTACAAGTACTTACAGCTGTTCTGGTAGGGTATACACAATCAAACATGTCTGCACCCAGAGCAACACACACTATCAAATCAGTCGTATATCTAGAATGAGAAAAGCAAGTATTTTAGGCAACCTGCAACGCAGACTCTAGAGTCTTTCATGCACCAGATGGCACACACATCTACGACAACATAAGCGAGTTGTGTGCTTGACTTACACAGTACAACTCAAGTTGTAAGCAGGTTGCATGCGACAGTTTTAGGCACAAGTTATGTAGTGTTAGTCTGCTCATTGATATCTTAGCTGATCAGGTTTATAGCATACCCAATTCCCATGCAGTATCTTGGCTTATTTTCAGGAAGATAATCTGTGCATAATGAAACCATTTTCCAAAACTGTTCTTTCTCCTCGCCACCACTCAGACCTCCGATGGCGTAGCCAGGACAGTCTCGTTTTACCATTTCTAGATACAATAAGTAACTGCCATTTAGTAAGATATTGTCGTTTGTGTCTGAACTAAGTGAAAAGATTACGAAGACTTCAATGTTTGGCTTCCCCAAACAGCGAAATTTCTTTAAAAGGGCACAACGCAATATTTATGATGTATTGTCGTAGTATTTAGCTAAGACGTGCCTGGTAGTTGGGGATAGTAAAAGCAATTACTGTAAAGTTGATGAGACCGAGGTTTGCTGCGCTTGTACCGGTATTTAACATAATTTGCGTTTGAGAAGCTGCAAAGTTGCCTGCAGAGGAGACGTCTGCACAGTTATCAGAGTGAGAAAATGTCAACTCTTCATTATATGTAGTAGTCTTGAATTTGGAGGCAAATAAATACATGCTTCAGCTCTAAAGCCAAAGTGACAAACTTTCCAGAAGGATGTATTCAGGGATAAAATTTGATTTTTTGGCTTCTTGACCACCGTGTAATGATGTTGCAGCTACCTTGACAACATATTTCCCTCAACTTGGGATCCAGTCCTCCTTGAATAATAGGAAAGAGGTTTTGCTCCGCAGGTCTTTTGTGTGCTTTGATACATCTATCTAGCCAGCGTATTGACCTGTACATAGCCTCCTCAACCCTCGACCCTGTTGTGAGGCTACTGATGACATCATCAAGTTGCATCATAATATCTGCCCCAATTGTATTCTGGATCTCCATGGATTTTTCTGGGCTGAGTAACATTTCTGACCCATCATGAGGTGACTGGAACTTCACACCTTCCTGTAGTTCATTACAACTTTACAATTAGCACTGAATTAGGAATTAATTGTTTGTTAATAGTTAATTAGGAGTTAATAGACACTTTTTGAATTTGCTTGATTGGATACAAAACTATTAATAGCTTGAAATTAAGGCAGACAATATAATCTATTGTCAATAAGAAGTTTTGATTGCCAACCAGAAAATTCTACAAGTGTTTATTAGAAGTGTTGATTAGAAGTGTTTATTGTTGGAGTTTTAATCACTACAAGTCACAAATTGTGATTAATTATAAGTTAATTAAGAATTAATTAGAATTGAATTCAAAGTAATATAAGATAAATAAAGACACAATTCTCAATAGTGCAATAAAACTTTAGAAAAGCTTACTTCACTGACTTCTGAGAGTTTTAATAGAGATACCATTTGAAAGCCACCACTGTCCTACAGCGAGTGACAAATAGTCAAATACAATAATCTGCCTTCGAAATAAAGTCATAACTTATTATCATACAATCTCATTCCCCGAGCCTGCGATCCTCGGGAAGGAATGCGAGGCTCTGGGATAATCCATGAATCCTGGCTAAGATTGAACTACGCATTCCAATTCAACGGCCAGAGCCTCGCGTTCCTTCCCGAGGATCGCAAACTCGGGGAACGAGATTGATTATCATATCAAATAATCATACAGTTAACATAGCTCTTTTCCAGTTCATAAAGTTGTGAAGGCCTCCAACTTTTTCTAACACATCAGTTCCCTGAAATAAATGAGCATGACAACAGATCTATAAATAGCTGGAATATGCAGCAAGCAAAATAACCAGCATATTAATTACATAAACTAGCATACTAATTAGTCAATCAACATACTAATTAGGTAAACCAGCATACTAATTAGGTAAACTAGCATATAATTAGATAATCCTGCAAACCAATGGGGTAATCCTACATTTTAATTTGGCAAATGAGTATCTAATTAGGCAGACTAGCATACTAATTAAGTAAATAAGCATACTAATTGGCGGAAATGAGTACTAATTGGGTCAAATCAACATACTAACTAATGGAAGAAACACTACAGACTACACTATAAATTAAGCAAATTATCATTAGATTACTTATAATTTGTACAACAACTGAAAACTAGAAACGGTACAACTAACTATATAAAATATAGCACACAATATGTCCGACAAATGAATACTCACAGGTCTCATCCCCAAATGATAAGTATTTCCAAGAATTATATGACAGTCTAATTTCTCTAGTTGATATGACGTCATGCCCTTTAATGTACCCTGAGTCCCGACAGGCATAAATACTGGAGCATCTACATCGTAATGCGGCAAGGATATCACAGAAACTCGAGCTTTTGAACGACTACATTTCCCTAAAATTTTAAATTCAAGCGCCTTTTCGTCGGCCATCTTGGATTATTGCGCAATCCTGTTTCCACTTTGAACATTTTTTCGCAAATTTAATTTTATTGGAATGGAAAGTTTAGAAAGTATTTTTGAGATGATTTAGTATTTGTACACTATTTACCCAAAAAGGCATATTTTGTTTTGTTTACAATTTGTCATTTTATGTTTTTAAAATGTTTCTGTCAAAATAGACCAAAATATTATTACGGAAAACTTCCTTTAATTTAAAGTGGAAACATAGTTATATGCACATTTTAATTTGCACATTCAATTTGCACATTTGAAGTAAATCCACTGCAAGTTTCAAGTATAAAATACAACATTAAAAACCTCTTTCAAAATTATGGCAGAAATAGACAAGACTAACAAAATTTCAGGCGGTAAGGACGAAAGGCTACCACTAAAATTTGACACTCAACTGAAGCGACTAGTTTCTATAGAGTACCCTGGATACATCCACGATGTTTCAAAAACTCTAAAAACACTTGGGGGTGAAGGGCAACTAAGTGCTACATTAAACGATTCTTTAAGACGCATCGGGATAAACTTTCGGCCAAATGATCCATACTGTCGGCAGAGTTTTGGCGACCGATCTCCAGCGACCGACTTATTAATGAAAGTTAAACGAAAGAAACGAATGAAAAATGGGATAGAAGAAGTGAAATATGAGTGTGAAATGTTGGGAGTAATTGATACCGTTGTGAAGTATGTTGCTCACCATTGCATTGGCATTACGGCACTAACATTAATTTGTTTATATTGGACAGTTCTATATAAACTGATCTCTCTAGTGTTTATAAAGGGGCATTGCCTATGGTCCAGTGTTATTACAGGAGGAAACATGCAATGTTTGGTACAGTCAAACTGAAAGCACTCTTCTCCAAATTATAATAAGATAACTGCATATTGCAGGACTCAAACCCAGGTCACAGAGTTGAATGACACATACACTATACCACTACCCCCACCATGTTTTATGACCTATGATACTTTTATCAGATTCAAAGGGCTGGCAGATTTTCAGTACCTGGCACCACAGATACCAGACTTACTGGATGGTCTGCGCGGTAGAGAGATCTTAGACATTGAAACAGATTTACACCTCCCTCCCCCCGCATTCTGCAGAATTGATCATCCTTTTGATTACCAGTATAGAACTGACCCTGTTAGCAAAGATAGAACATCACAAGCCAATGAACAGTAAGTTATTAATCCAATTAGGTCACTTGACTCATTAGACTGGGTTTGTTATACAAGGTTCAGTTGGCAATCTTGTTTGTTAAATAAGGTTTGTTATATAAGGTTCGTTAGATAAGGTGCATTAGACAAGTTTCATTAGACAAGTTTCATTAGACAAGGTTCATTAGACAAGGTTCATTAGACAAGGTTCATTAGACAAGGTTCATTAGACAAGTTTCATTAGACAAGTTTCATTAGACAAGTTTCATTAGACAAGGTTCATTAGACAAGGTTCATTAGACAAGGTTCATTAGACAAGGTTCATTAGACAAGGTTCATTAGACAAGGTTTGTTAGACAAGGTTTGTTAGACAGGGTTTGTTAGACAAGATTCATTAGACAAGTTTCATCAGACAAGGTTCGTTACACAAGATCGTTAGACAAGGTTCAGTAGACAAGGATGATGGTATCATTTTCTGTTAAGATTTAGTGCTAGTAGAGTGAGGGTTGTTGCTATCATGGTAAATTCACTGCAATGTTATATTTAGACGTCTTGGCACAACATTTCGAAAACCTCGACCTTCCCATGTGATATCCTGTCATTTCCAAACCCCAGAGGTACCAACCGAACCAAAAGAAGGGGCTGTCAAAAACATGGAAAGATATAATAACGAAGGCTTAGATGTTGTTCAACGTTTGTTTAACATGAGACCTGTGTGGTCTCGGCGGGCTATAGTCTGCCACGTGGGAGAAATTAATGCAAAAAGAATTAAGTATTTGTTGCCACGTGTGGCTTATTATTGGATTGGAGGGCCTTGGAGAACCTTTTGGACCAAGTTTGGCTATGATCCAAGAAAAAACCCTGCAGCTAAAATGTAAAGTTTTTAGTGGTAAAAATAATTCTAAAGATGTGTCATATATATAGATGCAGCTACACTCAATCTTACTTCTTGATGAAATTTTTGTCTAGACTTGTTGAATTCAAAATTTTGGTTAATTGGGGAATGGTCCATTACCCATATTTTACTTCTTTTCCTAGATATCAAAAACTCGACTTCAGATTGCGCACCAAGAATGCGTTACGTGGTATGAAACTACCTCCTACAGTGCGCAGTATTTACGAGTTCCCATTTACCACGCGTTTCCAGAAAGGACTCAACAACTCTATTGTACCACTGGGAGTAAACAATACCAACAGTTCTGAGAAAGCTGGCACTAGTTCAGAGAAAGCTGGGCCTAGTTCCGAGAACTTTGTCACAGAAGGAGGGGATATCGATATGTTGGTAGATACGCCTGGGACACCGGAGATTTTGCCCTACGCATTTTATCCTGATCGGCCACCAACCACGCGGCAAATCATCTATCAATTGTGTGACATACGTTGCGCGGAGGCCCAGAAGCTGATTTCTGCGAACGATGGACGGGTGCGTGAGGGAACTGTTTTGTTTTGTATTTTGTTTCTAACTTGCAGAGATAATAAGATTTGTAGGAAACACGCTTTGTATATGCAGTTAGCGCGTTCGTATGATCTGTTGTTTTAATTAAACAGAGTCATAAGAAGTAGAACATGTTCTTGAATGGCGTCGCATTCTATTTACGCATACTACCTCTGTATGATCTAATCAAATCATTTTAAGGTAGCCCACATTCAAGAACATGTACTACCTCTGTATGATCTAACCATGCTAAACTCAGCAGTGAGTTCTATACAACATCAGATCATTGAAGGTAGCTCACATTCAAGAACATCTGCTACCTCTGTATGATCTAACCATGCTTAACTTGGTTTAATCATGAAATGATCTGATGTTAAACAGAACTCATGTATGAGTATTCATTTCTGATGAACATGTCTCCTAAAACTCTTACACCACTATCATTCCATATTAGGAACGGGAATGCAACGAGAGTGAAGGATGGATGGAGCTTGGAACTAGTGAGAAAATACGTGTTGTGCTAACCAACACTTTGATTGAACTCCATAAAAAACAGAAGAACACAACAGGAACAATACTTGCGGATGATGAACAAGGAGGGGAAATGGAAGACGAAGAGGCGACATTTCTCGACACCCTGATGGACGATGACGACGTCGAAGCTTATGATCTTTTGGACGATGATTTTTAGTGAATGCAAATTCATACTGACTTCGTATCTTGTTTGTGTTTTTCTATTTATATTGCAAAACCATTCATAAATTATTATAAATATTAATAAATATGTTTCACCTCGACAAGTGATTGTCAGTGTGTGTAGTAAAACCAACAAACGAAGCAATAAAACAAGACGGTATTTGGAGCTGGGCTGATCCGGGATATTTTGTTCAATAAAGCTTTTATTGCAGCTCTGATAAACATGCAAAATGACAATTCAAAGATGAATTTAGCTTAGTTTGATTCCAGCAACAGTATAAAGACTAGTTTCCACTCAGGAAAATTATCCGTGGATTGGAACGGACAAGAAAAGTTTTCTTTGTCTTCTGAGCTCTGGGTTGGAACTAATGAATTTAACACAAAGAAAAATGTTCTTGTCCGTTCCAATCCATGGATAATTTTCCTGAGTGGTAGTAGTCTTAAGTTCATTCAACGATCTTTTTTGGTCAGGAAAAAATGTCGTGAGACGACACGTTCCGGCTGTAACCGAGCTGGCCTTCACTCATGAAGAACCCCCTCTCACTATAGGGGGCATTCTTGAATCTTCCTGATGCATACGTAATGATCACTATCATTTAATTTAAGCTTGACAATCTGCTTCGCTTTATCACAACACTTTATCTTTAAGCTTTGTGATTCAACGTAAGCGATAATTTGTACAAATTTTCACAAATTTTGGCTATTCGAGGGCTAAAAATACGGAATAAACTAATATAATTGGTAAGCGTCGCCTAAAAGCGATGTTCCTGTTATATTAATGGCTTCCGGTATTAAAAGGTAGCATTTTACGTCCCACTTTTTCCGTTGTAAGCACTTTTAACTTTGATTTAATTTTCACGCAGGGAAATTAACTGCACGGGCGAAGATTTGTTCTTTAATAGCGAGTTCTGAATATTTATGAAGGGAACTGATTTTCACTGATTTACAAACGCGAATTAGTGGCTCAAGACATCTTCAATTCTCAGCCACTTGCGAGTTCCTCAAAGCATCTTCACTGAATACAATGAAGTGTTATTGAATGTAGTGGCGGGTTGTATTGAACGATAATACCCTGTGGTTTTTAACATCAAGCAATTTGGTAGGTTCATGATATACTTTTCTATGTCTATATACGTTATGATATATGGGATGATTTTTCTATAGCATTTATTTATTGAAAATATAGGACTAAAAAAATAAAGCAATACTAGAAATAGGAGGTGCTAGGGTTCTCAGATGTACTTTCATGTGCAAAATACTGTAAAATAAACAGTGATGTTATAGTTATGTGAGAATAACAAAATAATTTATTCAACTTACAAAATATTTCTAGTCTGTAAAGATTTGTTTTACTTGGACGCGCGAATATTTAAATCCTTTACTCCACCTTCAGATTCTACCTTGATAATTTTCAAGTATGTTGCCCAAATATTCATGCAATATTGTCGTATGCAACATCAACACTATGAGTATTTAGTATTAAACTAGAACATACGAATACGTGTTTACAAGTAACTTATTACAGACATGGAGACCGTCAAAAACTTAGACACGAACACGGACACATGCAGGAGACCGAACAACCACAAAAGCAAGGCCAATTAATATAGCATAACGTTGTATTTTCGCGATTCTTGTAAAGGGTTTTGTGTGTATTAATATATCGAGCCACCTTAAGATATTCGCGAAATTCGATGTTGTGACAAGCGAATCTACTATCGTGCAAATATGGTCTGCAGCAATGGCGTAACCTCGGGTGTAACTATATATAGAGTATAGGCATGTGAGTTACTGGGTATAGCAACGGCATTAACAAGTGTTAACCAAATGTGTCTGTTAGATATATGCAGGTTTCACTCGGCATTTATATCGTACAGCAGATGGTCAACCTGCAGTTATCAAAGAAAAAAAAGAATGGTCAAAGTTTGGTTTCATATGAAGGTACTGTAATGGTTGTAAAAATAGAGTCACGATATTTCTCAACGGCCAGTTTATAATAGTTTATACCTGTAAACCACATATAAATCATGAGTATTCTTTAGTTATAATCACTCCACGTATTTTCAGTTCTAAAAATATTGTATTTCGGCTGATGAGAAAGATCGTGACTCAATCTTTACGACCGTTACGACCATATAGAAACCAGGCTTAATTCTCGTTGTCAGAGACATGGAGTGGCAAGGAAATACATTCAAGGTCCCGTTTTACACTTGTAATTTTTGTAGCGATTTCTAGAGCGATTTTCTTCTTCTGATGAATGTCCTGAGTATATATTTAGGGTGAGGTATTAATTGGGACGAGAGTCCTGCACGTCCTCATCCCTGCAGTCACGTACGTTTTCCTGTAAAATGTTATGTATATCAGTGTCAGTTTTTGGGACGAATTTAATAATAATAATATGTACCCTCATCTGAGCATTCATAACTCGTTCACATCCATGAGAAGAAGAACACCGCTCCTAAAATCGAAGCAAAACTATTACAAGTGTAAACGGGTCTTACTTAAGACATGTTGTTCAATTTTCTTTCTCTTCAAGTGTCAACAGTGCTATACTTGACTACAACTGCTATTCTGCAATGCTTACGCCGAAAGTAAGACCCAGCAGCCAGCAATGGACTCTAAATCCTTACCAGTGACAGTGTTATCATTAAAACGATAGCTTATTGGATTTAAGTGCAAACAAAAGCTTGTATTGACAATGCTCACATGCTCTTAAAGTCAAGACCTAATCCATCGCTTATATGAGCAATAGTATGTATAATATTTACCCATGCATTCATTATTACGCCGAATTTACATACTAAAAGCAGCTTAGAACAGACCGAGTGGGCGGCATGCAGATTGCCAGATTACTTTATCACTATGAGAACAACCCTGCTTGATCAAAGAAATTAAAACTTATAAAGTTATTACTTTGAAAGACTATTGGTAAAAAAGGATTGAAAGAACTGTGAAGATAAAACACCACGAGTCGTTCTGCACACGCTTCTTCAGAAGCGTCGAAGATTTGTTCTCATACAATTTTAATTCAATAAACCGGCAATATTTTCCAAGTATAGCGGTAGACCACAACGAAATCGTGTATATATATTTGAAATGTACTCAAGGTGCGTTACTGCTTTGTGTTTGGACAAAGATAGCAACGGATTTGGATTGCGACTTGTCACTCCAGCGAGGATTTGAACTCCGCAACGCGGTAATGTAAACGCCAAAGCCAAAAGGTAATGCTATGATTTGTTTTGAAATTTTGTTGCCAGTCATCCGGAATGATTTCATAATCGCTCTGCTATACACATGATTTAAGATTTTGGTATCATTATATAGCCTGGCTGTATATTAGGGTTTCGCCATGGGGTATTTACATTTTGAGACAAGACAAAGTCAGTTTTACGATATCGTTAATGTGTAGCCCGGCAATTCATTAATTAACGCAATGTTTGGGTACTTACGAATCGAATACTTCACAGCATCCTTTGTTTGTTATGCCAGCCTGGTGTTCGGCAGAATAGGAAACATCACAATTTACTTTGCCAACAACTAAGCGATGAATTTTGCTACATATCTTGGTCGTTTGGGGTTTTAAACAATGTTAAGTCATATAACTTATAAGATTTGAAGAATGTTAAGTCTGATAAAAAGATCTGCTAGCTTTTATTAGCTTGATTATCCCGATTAATCTATTGATTACCGGTCAAAATTTTCGCATTTTACTCGATTAACATCTTTCCCCCTTTGGATAACATATAAGTTACGAGTTTAGGGACAGTGCATTCCGAGTAGTTTTGTGTGAAGATTACGTCTGAATTTGAGATGAATTTGTTCTATCGTATAATTATTTTATCAGTGTCAAAATGATCTACTATATTGCGACAATGTCAATATGATCGTTGTATATATTTTTCGTTTTAAAATTTCCAGAATGAAAAAATCTACCGTGTACTCTTCTTAATTCAAGATAATCTCTGTTGATCAGTATCTGCAAAGCGTTGGCTTCGAAGAGGTTAACACAATGACTATTCATGATCAGCTAAAAAATAGATCCGATTGTTTCACTGAACGTGATGATATAAGTTCCTTTTTTCTTCGAATTGCATGAAATGTAGCATATTAGATTGAGTGTACGACATACTCATACTATTAATACATTTTCCTGAATTTTTCATAAAACCGCGAAAATGAATATTAGTGATATATGGGATAAGGCAGTTATGCCTTTAGTTTTATCGATATGAAAGTGAGTTAGCCTTAAGGCACATAGCCCCTGTTCAGGCATGTACATCATTACGCCATTAATCATTATCCTTACACGTCCTTGTAAACCTGCTAACGAGTTTTCTGGCAATATAATGTATTTATGTCGACTATAGTTGATATTTTAACGAGCTTGTTTTCATATTATTACCCTATTCTCACATCCTGCTTCAAAAAGCCAATAACATTAGACTCAAAGTGCACTGAAATACGGTTCTAAAAAATATAGTTATTATTCCTCTACCGGGTTTCAAAAATAAATATAGTTATATTCCTCTACCGGCAATAAACATTGATCAATCGATCATATTATCTCTAATACGTTCTGACACACTATTGCTATTATTAGTGTTCTACTTGGCGGTTTAGCAATTTGTCTGCGTGGTTTTACGTCAAAAGCTTGTTGTATATACAAATTGACCACAATGAAATAGGAGAGTATACTTTGTGGCAACGCGCTCATAAATAATATAGCATTATCTTATAATACAAGCTTGTTGCGAATAAAACTTGTTTGTCAAGTTGTGAGATTTTTACGTGTGCAGTTCTTCATTTGTATGATGTATTTCACCATAAGATCACCCTTGAATCTACGACGTATATCATCACATATAGGTGCAATTTTAAGTGTGATTTTGTACAAACATATTGATAACCTGACCCTCACCCCAACCCCTCACAACTAGAGGCACCTAACCCATCTAATCCCTCACCCTGTTAGTGGGGAGGGGGGGGGGGACGAAAAAATAGAAAAATGATGATATAGATCATAGATTTAGTGAGCATATGATGATATAGATGATAAAACTGATCATGTTGGTAGTTCTCACCCAAACTACCGGTCCAAAGCCAGATTGAACGTTTATTCGGGTGGGCCTAGACTAAATGGGGGGCTTCGGTGGTACAGTTGTGGGTTCGATTCTCGCTACGGACTCATGTGAATTGTGAAAAGAGTCAGTCAACGCTCTGCCGAAAGTCGTGGGTTTTCTCTCAAAGGGAAAGTTGACAGGGTGGGTAGTGTAGGGCCTGTAGGCTAAGGCCCCAGTTACACGATACCGGATTCGCATCGACATCAAATTTTACTGCTTCGAGGTGAATTTGCGCTGTTAATCTTAATCTTTTTAATCTTAAATTTTACTAAAGTCTCGACATAACAATCTTGTTCTTTCTAGTTTCCTAGATGCGCGTTTCAAGGTGTGACCAATGAGGCTATATATGGGGATATGTTCAATACATCACTGCAATTTATTATATTGATATGCTTATGTTATCCTGTACTACGCATGCCCAGTAAACAAGATATGACGTCACAAATAATGGAAAGGAAGGGGAAATTCGACAATAAAACATTGGATGAAGATAAAAGCAATTTGAAAGGACGTAAACGTTTGAAACAAGACTGTAAAGTCAATGAAAGTTTAGTTCAGACACGATGTGTGGCTACTCAAGAGTCCATTCCCACAAACCTTTATTTCATATTTCTGTATCATTTAACTTCAAGGAAATCTGCAGAAAGTATTCTGGCGACGACAGCATTATTTTTCTGGAAAGTTTCTGCATTGCCAGTAAATTGTACAGCCTCGAGTACTGACCGTACGAGAGAAACTGGAATGCGAAAATCAAGAAGTGTTTCAACAAGTACTGAATTTAGTAGAGGTAATTATCTCTTAGCCATATTTCCCAAAGGTGGACAAACCAGGAAACATTGTTTCCTAGCCATGTTTCCTGAAGGTGGAAAAAAACAGGAGACATTCTTTTGTTTCCTAGCCATTGTTTTCTAATTGTGGGAAAACCAATAAACATTGTTTCCTATTGTTAGGCTGCCACACTAGAAAACATTGTTTTCTAGCAGTCTAGCCGCGTTTCTCGAAGGTGTGCAAATCAGGAAACCGTGTTTCTGTATGAATTAACGAGACTTTTGTCCAATTTAGGAGACTGTGACAAAGATTGGTTTGAATTTGAGGAGAAATGTTATCAAGCATTTGAGGAAATGATGAACTATAATGCTGCTGATGCATATTGCGAATCATTGGGATCAGAGCTGGCCAACATACAAACTATGAACGAAAATGTCTTCGTCAGGAATTTATCTAATAAGCAAGGGGTGTCAGGCTATCTGTGGACCGCTGTACAAAAGGTGTGCATGAATTGTACACAAACTGTTGGTGGGTACACGAACTGGTTACCAGAGGAACCAAGTGGCGTCAGCAAATGTGTGACGATGCATCCAGATGGTAAATGGCGTGATTTCGACTGTGGTTATATGTTCGCATTTGTTTGTGAAAAAGGTCGGTGTTTATTGTGGCTAACTAGCTAGTATTATTATATTGTAATTAATCAATATTAACATATACTACAGGATGGTTAGTGCAATCCAAATATCAGGATTTTTGCCCTATATATAATACATTCTACATATAATAAATTATACATAATACATTCTACATATAATAAATTATATATAATACATTCTACATATTATAAAAGCTTAAAGCTATTCCCCTTGGAAATATAACTCTTAAATCTTCCTTTCCTTATTTTTGCAGCCCTGACTCAGACGTACACAGAAAGACAACTGCTTATCGCTCTGCTCGTCCCAATCATCTCATGTCTCACGGTCGCTGTCTCGATCACCACGGCACTATTGGTCAGCAGTGTTCGCCGTGGCGGTCAACCATTCAAAGTGTCAAGTCGTTACCAACGCACAAAGAAAGAGCGAAAGCCGGTGAACTGGGACATGGTCGACATGTTACGGAAGGCTTCGTTAAGTCGGAGAGGTTCGCGGTTCAAACCTCAGCGACAGTCACCACCCAGTATTGAGATCACTAAAGCCGAAGCCACCAACGGTAAGCTTCTATATGTTTAGTTATAGTTGGAAACGAACATATCATAATAAGTATGTCATTACAATAAGCATTACAACAATGTCATCCAGTCACGATCCAGTGATTACAATGTTTCATTGTCTTTTCATTGTTTTGAAAATCCCACTGTAGTGTTCTCCATGCCATCCAGTCAAGATCCAGTGATTACAATGTTTCATTGTCTTTTCATTGTTTTGAAAATCTCACTGTTTTCCATGTCATCCAGTCATGATCCAGTGATTACAATGTTCCATTGTCTTTTCATTGTTTTGAAAATCCCACTGTTCTCCATGCCATCCAGTCACAATCCAGTGATCGGAATGGTCCATTGTCTTTTCAATGTTTTGAAAATCCCACTGTTCGTTCTTCACCCAAAGAGGCACTGGATGGCATGGAGAACAGTGGTGTTTTCAAAACAATGAAAAGACAATGAAACATTCCGATGTGCCATCATGACTGGATGGCACATATTGTAATGCTAAATGTTAGGAGTTATGCAGAGGACAGACACTTTTGCTGCTTCTTTCACACTCGCATTCTATGCTAACGTGCGCTTAATATGCAAAACACTACAGGTACCATACTCCCCAATGGCATTGAAAAGAAGAAGCGTTGGTACAAACGAAGCAATGCAAGTAAAACCCTTCACATTCCCGAAGAACGAAGACGGTCGAGTAACTCTAGCGGCCACTCTAGTCTGTATGAACTTCTTGCAAGGCTTAACAACATGGAGTTCGAACCTCCTACTGAAACACGTCTCAATGAGCCAGAAGACGAGAATAGTATAGAAATGAAGGATCTAGGTGAGCATAGAAATGGAGTTAAACCTGCCCTCAATGAAGACGACGACAGATTGAGTGGTAGCCACAAGCAACTTGTTGAAAAGAGACAAAAACTTGACGATCCAGTTCACAATGGAGCCTCGTTTCGAAACATGGCCTTCCGTGATTCCGTGGTTAGTGTTGAAACCAACGGCAGCGGGATAGCTAAGGTTACTTCGGTACAACAGATGAACCAAAAAGATTCAGCAGGAACAATTGAGGATATCACGAGTGATGTAGAACATCATGATTTATGTTCACCTGATAGCTGTTCACGTGATAGCCCTCGTGATAGATCACGTGATAGTTCGCATGTTTGCTCACGTGTCAGTTGTCCACGTGATAGCCCACGTGATGATGACCGGGAAGAGACTGAGGCGAGTAAGAATACGCAGACAGTGCGAGCAGATGTACATAACATTTCCAATAATGGAAGTGTTTCCACTCAAAATGTTGGGAAACATTCAGACCAAAAACCACAACCTTCAAAAGGCAAAGTAATATGGACATATAGTTTATAGAATTAATTTATAATATATTGTGTATAATTGCATAGAAAAAATAAAACAATAAACGCAGTAATGACCTGCCATGTTGCATGCTGGCCGCCATGTTGTTTTAGCATAAATCATAATGCGCGAGAGCAAATTTTCAACTTTCCAAAAGGAGAACGATCCACAACGGCCAAATAAAATGTCTAGACCGTACAACACGAATATAATAAGATAAAAGCTATAGACTAACACATACCATTCATACCAAAGTATTTACTGACAATCTTACGCTTGCATAAATGCAATCCGCTTTGTACCAACTTTAATTCTCGTCCTTTGATTGAGTATGGATTTGCTACCACCTTGATTGAGTACGGCTTTACTACCACCTTTTCCAAATTTGTAACGTTCTGTTGAAGGGCTGGCTTGTTTGTCGATTGTCTCTGTTGAAATTCTAGGTCCTTTGTATTCCAAACTTTTACGTTCATTGAAAGCTTTTTTCACCTTTTTCGAAGACTAAAATATAAAATAAAACAATTTATAGCCGTATAAAAGTTGATAACATATTATACTCAACATCATATACCATACTATGTCATATAATACCATGTCATATCATACAATACAAAATAATACCATACCATATACAAAATAATACCATACCAATATGATACCATATCGCATCATATCAAAGTCATACCATACCATACCATACCATACCATACCATACCATACACCATATCAATATATCATGATGATTACCATATCACACCAAACTATATATATATATATATATATAATCCAAGCATGGATATAGGTGAACGATAAATATCCCTACCTGTAATTTCCTATCAATATGATTAACATGAAAATCTTTCTCATGCAAACACAATGTTAGTTTCCGTTCATTGATGGGTGGTAAAACCGACCTCACAGCGAGGTCTTTACTGCCTGAAAATAACAAAACAAGAACATAATCTCAGATACCAATACTTTAAACCAACTTTACTCTGATGAGGTTGGATGAAAGTCATGGATTTACCTTTCAAATCCATGGAATAATTACTCCAAAGGACAGGAAAGATTTCACTGATAGCTTGTTGTACAGACTGCGCTACCAGCAGCCCTGTTGAAGACTGTAAAACATTCTCGACACATTTATCGGGGTATAATCTTGAGAATAAAGACATGATACTGCGATTGCTGGGTTCCAGGAACAGACAACATGTCACATCGTACTTTGCTCCTTCGTAATCCTACAAGATTCATGGAAAGGAAATTTGCATAACTCACGGAGTCACCAGCAATTGTTATACCGTAAAACTCCGACTATAAGCCCCCCCCCCCCGAATATAAGCCCCCCTGTATAAGCGCCCACCACATGTACTAACGCTCACCTCATTCCAAATATAAGCCCCCCGAATATAAGCCCACCCGAATATAAGCCCCCCGAATATAAGTCGCCCAATTAATATAAGCCCAGTAATCGCTGGTTAATACACGTTTATTTCCCTGTTTATGACTGACTTGTTTATGTCCGACTTGTTTATTACCACAGTGTTTATTACTAACACAAAAGATCGTCCATGTATAAGCCCCCCTCATATATAAGCCCCCCTGTATAAGCCCATCAAAAATCGCTTACAAAAGTATATAGTCGGAGGTTTACGATAGTCAAATGCGTTGCTTGGTCAAGAGTGTCAGAAATAACCAAAACACACTTCTAACAAATATACCACATTTAACCACATCGATGAAAATTTTTAACAAAATATCTTCGCAAGAAATTTTCTCAGACCTTGCAAGAAATTGTTTTCAGCTTATATACTGGAATGCCAAATAATTTACTTATTGATTAAAAATTCCAAAAGTGTTTTACAAGTCGAGATTGTCTTGTGCCGTGATTGAAGATTAGGCGTAAAAAAATACCTGTGGTTCCGGTTCCCGACCGACCCTATTTTTTTCTGCCGACCCTATTATTTTTTCAACGTGATTGACCGTGCGACCCTATTTTCTCCAGGTGGTTGCGGATACAGCGTGCCAAAATGGCGTCTGTTGTCATACTAATATTGAACCAAATTGCCTAAATTCGTCCATAGGAAATACGCATCTCTAGTAATATTGATGTCGGGACTCTACTGCAAATCGCCCAGCAAAAACCCGCCAAAACCATGAAAAAAATATTTAAAAAAAAAATTTATTTCCGACCTACCGACCCTAATTTTTTCACGATATGAAACCGGAACCACGGGTATTTTTTTTACGCCTTATCACAATATGCCGCATCAGACGTTCATCTACATATGCAGGAAGGGAATTTTTATTTTGGGATTTTGGAGAAATATATATTCTATTGGCCTGTACCACATACCTCTAACATATATCTAGCCCGAGCTCTTGACGTGTAGTAGACAGCAACTTTTGGATTACACTGTATGGCCAGGTCAAAATACTCGAAAGCTTGGACATATCGTTTGTCAGCATAGCTAAGCAAGCCAAGTTCATTATAGACTACAGATAAACGAACTTTGACTGAGCAATCTTTAGGATCTATTTCTAACGCTTGGTTGTAGTCACTGAGCGCGAAGTCAAACTCAAACATTCTGAAGAAACAATCTGGAAGGAAAAATTGGTTGTATTAGACGATTAATTAGCTGTTAATTAAATAAAAGAACATTAATTAGATAATCAATTAGTTGATTGATTAATTAGTTGGTTAATTAATACGTTGATTGGTAAGTAAATTATTTATAAATCGACGTAAACTAACCTCCTCTATTGATATACAGTCCTTTCTCATTTTTCTCTTCTTTGATTGCCTTGTTCAACAAAACTACAGCCTCATTGTAAAAACCTTTGCTGTAGAAACGATTGTAGGCATTAATTAGAGAACTAGCTGAGCATGTTTGCTACGAGTACAGGATTCTTTACTTGTGCAACAGTCACGCACGCCATATTCTACCGCCCTCGTCACCAGCAAGCTGACAGCAGCGCAGAAAGATATGATGTGATAGGCGTGAATGGTTTGCTTATGTAGTCGTAGTTAAGTCTAAAGCACTCTGGTTAAACATGCATGATCAACTCAACGTTAATCAAACTCAATTACACATCCAGTTAACAAATTTCATTATGCGCTATATGGGGCAGCAAATGATAGTCAAATGTTCATTCTATACAGTAAGAGAACAAAAATCTAAACTTGCGTCTCTTTTTATTTTCCGCCAAGTCTTACTAAAGACGCGATCAACGTGAAATACACCCTATAGCCAAATATGTCACTTTGGCTGTAGAGCTGCATTTTCATTTACTGTGGACATTAGCTAAAGTTTAACGTCTCAATCGCGAAAACGAAGCTCTTTCAATAGCCATGGTCATGTACTTTCCGTAAACGTGTCTTAAAGATGATCAACGTGGCACAGGAATCGACATAAAATACATGATGGACTCAGAAGCTTACCTGAAGCACTCGACAGCAAAGTCATTATAACAAAGTAACAATTGTCTTTGAGCTTCTTTATAAACATCGTGAGAATAATCATGGTCTTTTTTGTCCATCGCAACAAGATAATCATCAATAGCCGAGTTGAAATCTGACAACTGACGGAGTAATGCTCCGCTAAAATTATAATGTGAAGAAATGGGAGATATTTTATATATTGAAGATGGCTATTTATGTATTTGGGATGGGAATTTAAAGGCTGGTTTTCATTAGTCAGATGTTGATTCTGTTCAACTGCCTATCATAATTCATCAATAACAAAAAATGTTTTGTACGTGGCAGTATAGACCCATTCCACTGACGTCACAAATCCTTAGAGTGTCCTCCAGATGCTCCCTAACAATATCTATTCGGGTACAACAACCACACACAGCGCAAAAACTAACCATTTTAATACAAAATCATTATAAACTTTTACAAAATTTGCTTTGTTTACAATAGTTATAGTATGCATAGATTGCTAATTTGTCCGCCAGATGCATCGTCACCGGCGCTGTGACGTCATGTGCAATGGGTCTATAGTCACAGACACTCAGTCACTCTGTGATAATAGAACAAATGAAAACACTATTCACAAGCATTTTAGAGTTCTGAGTGACATTACCCACCGAAATATATGATATTCTGCACAGCCAGGATTTGATTCAATAGCATTTGAAAATTTCAACAATGCTTCCTGTGTCTTCCCAAGAAGTTGTAGTTTTATTCCCTGAAAACAAAGACAATTGTGATGTTTTGACCTTTACATTTGCCATGCATGTATAAATGTGGCAAACACACTGTACATCATCCATCAACCACAGGGTCCCACCTCTGCCATGCCCCCCAAACAGCAAGGGGGCAGGGGTGGGACACTGGCAATAAGGTGGCATGGTTATCCAAGGTTGGTCATCATAGTGAATGATCAATCATGTATAAATATGGCATTGCATGGCCAATCATACATCATTAACCCATTGAGTGGTTACGTAGCACTCTCCTGTTGATAAGTAAAATTGCCTGGCATATTAGAGTCAATTTATAAACATTGCTTGATTAACATGAGATATCTAGGTGTTAATTACTAGGTAATTACCTTCTCTTTGAAATTTTCAGCTTTTTCAATCAATGCCGTCAACATTGTTTTGGCTTCTGAATGTTCTGGATCTAACTTGAGTGCATCCATAATGTCATAAAAACTCAAACTATCCTGAAAAATCATCAAAATTATAACCATGTGAACTACACAATTTAATGATCACATAAAACCTTGGTTTCCACTTGTGGTAACACTCCAGAGATCCAGTCTGCTGATCCTCTAGGAAAAACTGAACCTCTAGGTAGAACTGACAGACTAAGCAGAGGGCCCCCTATACCTCTTCACAATATGCTTTACGTAAAAATATTTTGCCTTTTCACGAGTCACAGATTAAGAAAATCATCGATCACGTTTCACGGCCAAGTAAAATAAGCCCTTCACGCTTCACGCAAAAAGTATAGGGGGCCCGATCACGTTTCACAGCTAAGTAAAATAAGCCCTTCACGCAAAAAGTATAGGGGGCCCTCTAAACAAGATAAAGATTAGCAGTCCTTACATTTCTAAACAGTTGATGAAGCCTTGCTCTCATAATCAATAAATCAGCATTATCATTCTCAACATTTAACCTTTTGTTGAGCAAAGCCAAACATTCTCCATGTCTTTGTAAGGCGGCCAGACAAGCCACGCTGTTGAAGGAGAAGTTGTTTAGTATAGTATGTAAGTTGTGTTTACGGTTGACCACTCAGACGTACATAATTAATCTAATAGATGGGGTGATGTGATAATATGTTTTGGGGGGCAGGGGTGCTAATTTATGGAGAGAGGCGAAAAATCATTGAGGGGGGTGGGTGATGGTAAGTGGGTATATATTTTGGTGGTGAGGATGGAGTATATATTTAAATGTGGTATAATTTTTAGGTGGGTGACTTTTTGGGGTGAAGGCACAAAATTTCAATGGGGGGCACCCCTGACTCCAAGGGTATCATGAATTGTATCATCAATTCACAATCCAGTAAGGAATATTCAATTGTCTTATTATTATTTTAAAACTGCATTGTTCTCCATGCCGTCGAGTCACTCATTATTTTGATGTTCATTTCCAACATACCTGCGAGTGTGGTAACCAATCACATCTGGCTTCATCTCGGCTGCTCGAGAAAAACATTCCAATGCGTCTGCATAATTTTTACAGTCAAACAAACACTGTCCTTTAATATAATATATTGACGCTAATCTCGAATAATACTGATCCTCATCAGGATCCAGAATACACGCTTTCTTGTAGTTCAGAATTGCTGACTGGAAGTCACAAAGCTGTAGAAATCTTTCGCCTCTTTCGATGTAGTATTTGCATTCTGTCGGTTTGAGGGAGATTGCCTTGGTCAGTGACGATATACATTTTATACTATCCTTTTCATCACTACCAGTAGCAAAGCTAAAGAAAATGAAAATAATTATTACAGAAAACATGGATATTTCCTCAAGTGCAAAAATATATACTAGTAGCGGTTTTTGGCCACTTTCTCAATATATGCACACCCAATAAACTAATACATTAGGGTTGGGTTTGAGAAAGCGCCAGGTTTTTTCTGGTACCATGGTATATATTTGAAGCATTTAGGGATGGCCCTTTAATACCCCTATGGAAATAAGAGTTCAAAACAGATAAAATTGTCCTGTATATAAAAACAAAAATTAGTACAGTTTCAGGAAACACAGTGTTATTTCAGCAGAGAAATGATTATCATAAAGTATATATAAATACATTTAGTTTTTAAGGAAACATAGTACTGTTATTTCAGCAGAGAAATGATTCATCATATTCATAATGAAGCTTATAAATAAAGCACTTACTGTTGTTCCGCTCGGCTCCATATAACAAAATTTGAGTTCACACTAGATCTCCTTCGTGCTCTGGATGAATGGTTTAATTCCTGCAGCTGAAATGAAGTAACTATCTGCTTCTTTCTTTCACTCAACTCTTGTTCTAAAGCTTCAACTATTTCGTTAGTTGTATCCAAAACAATGTCCTTCGCGCCGCTCGCTCCTTCATCCTGAATTTTGAGGCTTTTCGCCTCTAAATTCTCGTCTGACTGTTGTTTATTCAACTCTTTTTCTTCATTAGTTTCTGTTAGGTTGTTCAAGTGAGACTTGGACATCCCATAAAGTGTTCAAGTTCATCAAAACGATAAAAAGTTCATATATTTTTTCACACTTCTTCAATTTGATATTTAATACTAATTGTCCATTTTGAAGATCACGTTTATCACCATGGCAACACAAATAAATTTAAGGTGGGTCACTGCAGTTTTGAAATCAATAGGACTTGAAAAATTTGCGTAAAAATTTAGTGTTTTGAATTTTTGAAAGAGTGCAATCAATTCATCAACGACAAATATTAAATTTACATTTTAATGATAAATATTTACAGTCAAAATAGCTTAATATTTGGCAAGAAATACAATATTTAAACTGTATGTCAAGCACAATCTGCTGCACGATAGAGCTTTATTTATTTATTTATTAATGATTTGCCCATGTGATATACCAATACCTTACATAAAAAAATAAAAATAGAGTAGATACATTTGGGCTAGGAGTCTATAGAAACCTTGAACAGGCTTTTGGATTTAGACCCCTAGTTTAAAGTCTTGGTGCTAATATATATAGTTAAATTGTCATCGGTACTAAGTATTTACAAAAAGTGAGGTTATGTTACATTCAATATTTGTAGGAGAGTATTTACTATTAATTAATTAATTAAAATTTATTTATTTCTTTATTTATTAATTTATTTATTAACGTCGGCCGTTAACACCAACATAAACAAGGAAAACACAAACAGAAAAACGGCTCAGGAACACTAACACAGCGTGAGCCAATTACGTTAGTGACTTGTTGCAGAATAAATAAAACAAATAAAACACAAGAACAAACATGAAAGAAGATTGTAATATAGTTCATCTTATTTGAAGTCGTGAGCGCTCTGCAGTTTAGTCATAGTCTGTCAAGATGTGATGGTTTGGGAATTCTGGAAGCTTGGCAAACTTGAAAGCTACAAAATAGAAGAGCTTTGTTTGATGTTGAATTGTACCTCACCTTGCACAAATCCTTTGTCTCAACTTCATTAAATATTACTTATCGTGGTTGCACGTTTCGTCTCAGCTATTCCTATTGCACGATTATATAGATAGATAGAGACTTTATTTCTAGAGAGTAGCGCACAATAGTTTAAAACACTAATAAACTTGCGTCCCTTCCTTATACGAAAACACAATAAGTTCAATACCCGTGATCGTGCACAAATTAACATAAACTTTAACAAAAACATTTATATCTTGATTGACTATGGCTGAATAAAACACAGCAGCTTGACATTTCACTCCCTAACAAAACTTGCAATAAGATTATTAGGCAAAGAAAGTTTAGCACAATTCAGTTCCATTTTCTTTTCATCCATCGAGCTGACATTACTCCATGTTGAATTCAGGAGATTGAATTTCTCTACTTCACACGTCATTGGACCACGTGACCCTGTCATTCCGCCAATCACAAACGCCTCATCACCACATAGACTGACAGTGAACTTCATTCGCGCTGTCGTCATGCTTGAAGGCAGGAGCTGCCAACGATCAGTGTTAGGATCGTACACTTCTACAGAATTAAGCACGTTTTCACCATCATAGCCACCAAAAACGTAAAGGTTGTTCTTGTACCAAACTGCGCAGGCGTGAGTCCGACTGTTGTTTAAAGGTGCCAGCACTTTCCAAGTTTCTAAATAAAATATGATAAATTAAGAATCATGATACAATACTGGTGGGCTTCACGAGTATTACAGGTGCATTAGCAAGATAACACACAAACAAACTGTCTCGCACAATAACCCTGTATCTACCATTGACATATATATACACACGTAAAAATCTCACAACTTGTCAACAAGATGTGTTCGCAACAGGCTTGTAGCAAGCTTGTCAACAAGTTGTAAGTAATGTTTACAACATGAGCGGCCGTGTTGTATCAGATATACAAACTCGAGCCGAAGGCGAGAGTTTGTATATCTGATACAACACGGACGCGAATGTTGTAAACAACTTAAAAAACAGCTCATCTTATGAGTTCATTGGCGAAGTAATTTTAAAAATAAACGTTGTCTAAGCCGAGAAAATCAAAGTTAAAGTTTATGTAAATCAACATGAATCTGTATCACATATACAGATACGACACGCTTATGATTTTTCTTTGTGTTTTCTTCATGAATTATTAATGAGTTTTTTAACAATGTTTGAATGTTGTTATTTCATCAAGTTGCTACAAACTTGTCACTCACAACTTGTAACAAGTCTGTTGAGTTCAACAACCTTGTAGCAACTTGTCACCTGTTGACAAGTTGTTGGAACAGCATTGCTACAAGTCTGCTGCAGGTTTGTTACAACTTGTGCGTTTTTACGTGTGTACCTGGACTGCTTGCTGTTTTACCCCCACATTCGTCAGCTTCAATTTGCCACGCAAGCCTTCAGTCAAAAAGTATTACAGCAAGCAGTCCAGATATATATTAATGTCAATGGTATCTATGTATGCACAGAAACTGAATATACCTGTATCCTTATCATATCTCTCGACTGAAGCCAAGTATCTTGATTGGTTCTTACCACCAATGACGTAAATGCTGACGTCATCAACAATAGCCACGTGACCTTCACGTGCAGTATGTAATGAAGCCAACTCTCGCCACTCCCCATTGGCCGGATTTAGTTCAGCAACTGATGACGTCACTGAACACGAAGTGAATGCGAAACCACCGGATATGACGATTTGATCATGTGACCCAACAACTCCGGCGTTGTCTCGCTCTAGTTCACGCGATGTCACGTGGATCTCTTCCCAAACGTCTTTGCGCGTATCGTAACGTTCAATGAAGGAAACAGGAGTGTCGGCCGACTTCTCCATTGTACCGCCAACTGCGTACAAGGCGTTGTCAGTCGAGACCAGACCGAAACTATCGAAAGAAAGACAAATATATTTAGTGGATTGCGGAGGTAGTATTTCCCAATGGTTTGAGAGCAAATAGATTGCGGAGGAAGTATTTCCCAATGGTTTGAGAGCAAGCTAAAGACTTGCGACTCATTGTAATTAAGAGCTAAGGGTACTCAGAACACACGAGAGCGCTCGAATTCAGATCCATACTCAAATTTGTTGATTTGTTCACATGCCGTACGCTCAGATGTCTTTGAATCCGTCCACATTCGGCAACGTAAAGTTGTGTAAATTTAAGTGCGAGTTGTAGACCGACTAGACCTACCACTTGGACTCGAATCACACTTTTTGTTACTCAAATGAACGATTTGAGACTTGACCAGACTCGAACAAAATGACTTGTGAAATGTGACTTGTTATAGTAACAACTGTGATTTGAGTACAAATTCATATTGTCCTGTGATAACGGAACCTTTGAAATGTTATTGCCTATTTTTAGTTGCGATTTTTGACGCAGTGTTTGCAATACGATTTCCGGGTAAAATACTGCACTTTCCTCCGAAAGGGAGTGTTGACGGCTTCAAGTCCCAAACTATTAGCCCTTCCGTCATAGCGATGCTAGTCATCCGACAAGCGTACGCCCTTAATAGTAAAGGTGATCTTCCACTTGAATCGCAGCCTTTTGTGTCAAAGTCATTATAGTTCCACTCTGGTGTTTAGGAAACAAAGAAAAATACGCTTTGCTTTGGTACGATACAATTAAAGTCGAAATGCTCGATCATGTTGAGTTGCGTCCTTCGTACAAGGTCGTTTTCCACCAGGCAGAATTTTCCGCGCGGAGCGGAATTTTTCTTTGTCTTGTGATTTCTCGGGTGGAACTAATTGGAAAATACAAAGGGAAATGCCGCTCCGCGCGGAAAATTCCGTCTAGTGGAAGACAGCCTTTACTCAGCTTAGCTCTGAGCTGCAACTAAGGATGCACAACACCTCGGATGAAACGAGGATGAGAGCTGGTAGTCACGCGATCTTGGTTAGCTGGTCCTAATACTTTCCCAACATGTATTCTATTTTTAAATGAAAGTTCTACTTAAGTTAAAACATAGTTATAGAAAATTCATCAAACCTTTAAGCCTCGTTTACACGAGCAAATTTTATTTGACAAATTTCATTTGATCAAATGCATTTGACCAAAAGCTAGCATGCTAGCTTTTGATCAAATGCATTTGTCACAATAAATTTATCACAAATCTGTGCAAAATATCTTTGACATATGAAATTTGTCAAATAAAATTTGCTCGTGTAAACGGGGCTTTTATTTTGTTAATCTAGAGAGTAGAGTTTGAAATGTCCCCTGTAAGAATACGAGACTGCCAACTCTCATCAACTCTCACGCTCTCGTTTGACCGGGGCTTTCTTTACTACAAACTGTCAAATTCAGTTCTAACTGAATGCACTACTAACCTTCTGCGCGGATGCTGCATAGGAACAGCTTGGAGCCATTGATCACTGGAGGGAACATAAGCACAAACTTGATTTAAAACCGAACTTTCTCCTTGACCACCAACGACCAGAATTACATCAACTTCTCTGTAAGACAACCTCGCTTCAGAGCTGCCAGAATTTGTTTCCAATCTTTCCAACACCGCGTTCCGCAACCAAGGATGTTTGGAGAGAGCAAAGCTTTCAAGAAATGCTGTTAATTCTTCTCTGGTTAATGGAATAAACTTAAAACGAACTAAAGGTAGCAACTCTTCGCCAAGATTCGAGATGTTGGTGGCATCTTCGTGTAGGATTACAGTATCGTCTTGTTCAGAGATAAAGTAACGAGCGAGTATCCATTTTACAAGAATACCTAGCACTTCAAGTTCACTGCACACAACAAATTCATCGCACGATAACATCTCGCGCAAAATTGTGACAGGGCATTCGGCCAATGATTGAAAATCCAAATTGACAAAATTCTTCAACACGAAATGCGTCACAGTGTTCGCAATTGACGCTGAACTTATACTGTCTGCAAGAATTTTACGCGAGATACAATTTTTCAGATCTAAAGTTTTGACAAAAACGTCCCAACAGTATTCGGTGAGGTCCAACAGTAGGAACATGGATGAGGTAAAAATAAATTCGGCTACGGATTCTTTTGTAACGCGAAGAGACCCACTGTAGATATAGTCCAAAACTTCGCTAAGAGCTGATGAGGGAACCGTTTTTAAATGCACCCGTGTTTGTTGTTTTTCAAGCATGTTTATAGTAAACAAAGCATTGAAGTACATACAACCTGCAGTTAATACAGCTCGATGCACAGGGAACTCGATTCCATCAGAACTGACTAAAATCACATCGCAAAATACTCCACTTTTACGAAGTGTGTTTAGTTGTGCAAAAAACTCGTTGGAATACGTTTCGTTCTTGAAGCAATACTCCATATTGTCCTCCATTCTTCCCCCACAGATGAGGTTTAATCAGAACTTTAAAGTTGCAGCGATTTTATAACACTAATTAGGCGTTGCCAGCAGGTCGTTAATTATACAACAAATGACGCAATAATAAGCATTTTATTTATTCTAATTTACTAATTGTTAAAATTAGAAGCGCAGTTCATAGGAACACGTGGAGTAGAAGCAATATAAGATCCCGGTTATCACGTACAGATACTGTTCGCAAGCGACAAACAAGTTTTTTTTTCCGTTTTGCAAAAGCACCACACGTTATATAGTGTATTGAATTAATCTTACAATGATGCGAAAACGTTTGAAACGTTAACTAAATATGCCTTAACTTATAAATATTGCATGATTTCTTCGTACAGCTGTGTTGTCTAGTAAGTGTCAACAGAGTGGACAATCTATGACAGAGGTTCTTAGCTTTTAGATTTTGAGAGTGTTTCTATATTTGAAGGGCGTGTACCTGCCTATCACCTAGAATAGACAAACTCGCCAAAAATAGAGTATGTGTGTGGTAATTGAATGTGTCACGACCAAGCATTTATAACTATTTTGACATCAATACAGTTCCCATGCATAGCGTATCCAGCCACACATAAGACGTCAGAGATCGCTTAACCCATTTCCATAAACTCGATTTTATAAACTTTCTTATGGCATCAATAGAACTGCTGTAAAGCCTGGTTTCCATGTGATCGTAATGGTCTTTTTTATCCTTAAACAAGTTTTAACTTTTAATAGTTTTTCATTAGTTATCTTAAATGTATCACATTTGGTGTGATAATCTGTGAAGATTTTTACCGACTCAATAAATGTAGATGGTCGTAAAATAGAGTCACGACCTTTCTCAATGGCAAGTTTATAATAGTTTATATCTGTAAACCCAAATCATAATTATTCTCTAGTTATAATCACTCCGCGTATTTTCAGTTCTAAAATGTTGTATTTCGGCTGATGAGAAAGATTGGGACTCAATCTTTACGACCGTTACATGGAAACCAGGCTTAAGTAGCAACCCAAAAGTCCACACAAATTGTTATATATAAGTTATCAAAAGCCACGTTTTATTTTGCCGTGTTTTTCTATATTTTTGACAGTAGTATAAACACGGCCATCTTCCAAACTGAGCATGCGTAAAATCGCTGCTATTACGTGACAATATACAACACATTTGTTTCGCTAAAATTAGACTCAAAGAAGCACTCGTGCATTATATCGTGGCGTTCAATGTCGCAATGACGTAACCACTCAGTTTGAATAAGCTCCGTCAGACATCCCGATACACCAAGCACATTTTCAAAAGCATCCGACAAAATTCCGACATTTTCAAAAGCATCTGCAGAGCGTTTCTTTCATAACTTCCGCCTCCACTGAATGTGTACCCGAAAGGCAACTCCATAAGAAAAAATTGTTTTGATTTTGTTTTAGCATTTGCGTTTTCAAACGAAACGCGTGAACAACTTGAGGTGGTTGTACGAAGGCAGGATGGCGCTATCCACCCGATACTGATATTTTCAACCCTTTTAAAAAAATACTTGAAACGCTAGAAAAATACGGATGTAATCAATCTGGGTGGTACCAATTAACGGGATATTTTAGGAAGCTTGGCATTATCTGGTGGGCAGCGCAATCTTGTCTTCGTACAGCCGACCCCTGCTGTAGAGTTTGTACAACAGTTTTATACGATGTTTGTGATGTTACTCTGAGTGTATATCCACACCGGGCAAGCTTGAAAAATATGCCCAACCACGATGGGAATCGAGCCTATTTCAGTGACAGTGTTCAGAACTGTTTCAGTGACAGTGAACTGTTTCAGAACTGTAATCGGAACTGTTTCAGTGACAGTGAAATCACTTGGGAGCCATAGTAAAAATATCGAGAACCAAGGAGCTAGTTTTGAACAGTTAACTAACTAAACTTTTTTATTCATGGACTCAATCTCAAATTGTTAGAGTGGTAAGAGTTGGCAGTCATGTGATCTTGGTTAGCTGTTCTCAATGCTTTCCCAACACTATCATGTATTCTAAGTTAAAACATAGTTGGAACACTCATTCTATTTCGTTAATCTACAGTTTGAAGTGTCCGCTGTAACAATACGTGACTCTGATCAACTCTCATCCGCATTTGAGCGGGACTTCAATCTTAATTACGCATTTAAGGAAATTACGTGTGAAAAGGTTACTATTTCTCTTGTTTAAAAATTACCACTCTACATGGCAATGTGATGCCAACATATGCTTACGTATTATACTTCATGTAAATAATTAATATGCACAATGAAAAATTTGCATACAGTACACTCAAGATGACATTTTTCTGAAAGCTGGAACATCATTTTAGACAAAAAAGCAACTTAAGTGTTATAGTGTTTTGCGCATGGTATTAAAAAAAAATTATGATCCATGTTTTTGTTCTGCCAGTATCTTTAGTTAGTTAATTTGTCTTTTTTTGTAGGAGAGCATAAGCATATGCCACTACAGAATTTTCCCCAAGTGCAATAGCTGCATTCAGACATATTTTTTGTAAGATTATTAGTATATTTAGTTGGGTAAGCATCATTTCTGTATGAAAGTTGACATTTGACTGAGTGTGATGTGGATGGGTCATGTTTGTAGTAGTCATGTCTGATTTTGCTGTTCACTGCTTCTTAGAGACGAAGCTCACTGAGTTTCACTAAGCACTATCAACACAGATGTATGATATTATATGAGAGTGAGAAAATAATGTCAATTATTTTCATTAGGCCAAATAAAAAAAATTTCGTTAGCGTCACCATGCGACTCTCGATTTCTGCCGCCTCTGAATTTTTTAATGTAAATCTCTTCGTTTTACAGCTTAAAACAGTTTAATATTGGAAATTTTTCTCACACTCAGACCTTCGCGCTATATACTGATCGATAAGAGCGTGTGGGCTTGGATACAAGGTTCTTATATCAAAATGGCGGCCTTCCCAACATCAGTAGTGGAAAAACTGCCCCCATCCCCCCAATAAATACTATTAAAAATTTTTAAAAACGAGTAAAAATTAAACAAAAACCCTCCCGCCTCTGAAAATATGTGAGAGTGTGACGCTAAACAAGTATTTCTTTTATTTGGCCTTATATAAAGTAGTCTTGTATTTGGTGGAAACTAAGAATAATTGTGAGATGTTTTGTGAATAATTGTGAATTGGTTTTCTTGCTTTTATAAATGACTACCATCTACTGCTGTGTAATGCTTAGTAAAACCTGGCAATGATCAGTGACCTGAATCATGTATATGATACAACAATGTACCTGAGATTGATGTCCAGCTATTGATATCTCCACGAATCCTGAGTTCTGTTCTTAAACTTTTCAAAAAAGAAATCGTCCGATGCTTTATCAACTTGGTTACCAGTCTTCTTAGAGCCCAAGCCTCCATCATCACCATCGATGCCAACACCCAGACTTTCTGCAGTGACAGTCGGACCTTGTGGTTTGCTTTCTTCCTGTTCTTTGGCTTGTTTTTGAAGTTTCTTTTTCTCTGTTTCCATTGACTTGCGTTCGTCGTAAACTGCAGTGAATTCAAATGATGGAGTAAGTTTTAAAGTTCAGAATTTGTCACAAGCAAGGACAGCCCAAGAATACACACTTACGTAAAGCATGTCACTTCCAGGGAAAAACATTTTGGTGTGCAGACATTTTGTGTGCAGATTCTTCAGAAATTATTTGCATTTTTTTTACAATATGAAAAATTTTGCACAGATTTCCATAACTGCAAGAATTTTTGGACAGGAAATTAATTTCCTCCAAAGTCAAAAGATGAGATATACTCACATCTATTATGTTGCATGAAATCCACAGCAACGTTTGTTGGAACCATGATGGAGGGACCTTGATTCTTTTTATTCCTTCGTTCCTCAATCATTTTCATCTTGGCTTCCTCGGTTGCTTCGATGTTCCGTATCTTTGCCTGGATCCCAAGGTTAACCTCAGGAATACCAGACAACATTTGGTTAGACAGCATTTCTTCAGATTGTTTGAGTTGTGATTTCACTTTGAGTTTCTCGGGTAGTTCATACAGAGCATCTTCTTTAGACTTCACTCTATGCAGAACACAAAACAATTCTGTCAGATATCTGATCACCTCAATGCTGCACCAACACATGTTTCTCCCCTCTCACACCATCAGGCCTCGAATTTCCCTGAAATCAATCGACGGCAATGGTGCTAAAAATTGCCGTAGAACGTAACAGCTGTCTACGGCAATTTTGGCAGTTTCCATAGCATTTTTCAAATTACTGTAAAAAACTTTAATTTTATTGTTACTTTGGTTTTTGACAAGCTAGAAACATGTCTACATATTTCTTCAGTGGTTTTTTTTTAAAAGAAAACTGAGACTAAAACGCATTATTTGATCAACATCTGAATTCAAGTATCAAAGTAGTATTGCACAGTGAATAGTGTAAAAATTGCACTATATGGCAAAAAATTGCCGTCGTTGCCGCAATGATCCACGGCATTTTGTTCTCCCTCTACGGCAATTGCCGCGATAAAATTCGAGCCCTGCACACCATACTTACTTTACTTTAGGTGTATCTTTCTCCCCCTCCCCCCCCCCACACACATGCCATACTTTTACTTTACATTAGGGGTATCTTTCTCCCCTCTCCCCCACACACCATACTTGCTCTAGGGGATTATTTCTCCCACCCCCCCACACCATACTTACTTTACTTTGGGGGCATCTTTCTCTCCCTCTCCCCCCCCACCCCATACTTACTTCCCTCCCACACCATACTTACTTTACTTTGGGGGCATCTTTCTCCCCCTCTCCCCTCCTTGCTTTCATCTTATCTTCAATATACTTCAACATGTGGGTATCTTCGTCTCGCCTGTTGGTTTCCACAGCAAAACTACTACCCAGAGAGATTGATTTTTCTTTTTCCTCGCCTTCTCTATCTCTGTCTCTGTCTTTAATCAGATCCATGTCTAATATCCCACCTGTCTTGCTTTTAAAAGGATCCACCTCGTCTTGACTTTCTTTGTCAGGCAAAGTTTGACCAACAGCGAGCTCAGTGGCGCTCAAACCCTTCTGTCTTTTGCGAAGTTTTTGAATTTCTTTTCTTTCTTCCAAACTTTCTAAACCGCTTGCCTCCTCGCCAGATGCGTTCCCTTCGTCTTCATCGACCTCTCGTCGTTTTCTGTAGTTTCGCTTGCCCATTTTTGCAGCAAAAAACAAAACAATTTTACTTTTCAACTAAAAAAAATCGCCATGTTAAAATGATGATCAATAGTGAATACCACAGAATAACAATGGATAATGCATGATGTAAAGTACTTATACAACAATTTTAATCCAAATTGCACCTAAACTACCCTTAATATTGGAATATATTTACAAGTTACCTAAAGTACTCAAATATACTCCTAATTATCACCTGTCAATGGATATCTATGAACAACAATGGTAATATTTCTCATTTATCCAATGTATTCCTTCAATATTCCTAGATACTCCTAATTACCTCACTTTTGCTGGGTATCAATGGATAAGGAGGAATACATATGAATAGGTAGAGATATATAGGGGCAATTGAAGACGGCAGTGCAATAGGATAGCGGTAATTTTGTTAAACTTTATTTAACAACCAATGATATGGATTGAAAGAAATGTAAACAAATATGCATTGAAAGAAAATGTCCGTAAATTCGGGGAAAGAATTACCACATTGCGTAGAGAATTCTCAGGAAGAAACGAAGAGTCTTTCATTTTTTACTGCAGATGACAATGAAACATCCTCTGAATCAGAGAACGAAGAAGAATCGTGTCAAATACATAATGAACCAACAACAACTGAAACTACTCATGCAAATAAACTGCCTTCGCCAAGCACGCTTTTTGCGACAGTTGGGAAACCAAAGTTTCTGGAAACACCATTAGAACAAAATGATGTGGATTGGAATTCTTTATCAAAGCGTTATGAACCATTATTTGAGTACTCGAGCGTCTCTTACCCAGCAGAAACTGTGGATTTAGAATCAGACGAACGAAATGAAGCTAGTATTTCAGGAGCACCAATAAAATATAAGACTGAAATTAGTGAGACTAAGAGACATTTGTTTTTACATGGTAAAAGATCAGCAGATCTTGCTAGTGTTGTCGATACACCATCAACCAATCAAGGTATGGTGAAAAACACACTAGTGGGCTCACAGGGGAAAAACACAACACAGGGCTCCTCGGCTTACTGTGTGTAATATATGTCTTGTTCCATCTCTCATATTTATTGATACACAACATTAGATTCATCAGTCATTGAGGGTAGTCCTGACTGTGGACAGTTTGGAAATTGCATACCTGTTAGAGATTTCCAAAATTTTGTAGTAAATATATAGAAAAGAACAAAACTGTATGCCCGAGATTTCAGTTGCATAATACAAACTTTCCACAGTCGAGGATATCTCAAACATGGTGGTCCAGTGTGAGTAGTATTCTACAATAAGCTGCCATGGTTTGTGTCTGAACTACCTGAAGAAGACATCAGGGGCGGATCTAGGATTTTTCGTACGTTAGTAAAAAATTTCGTTGCTGAACATTGGGGTAGGGGGGTACTTTTGACTGGCGGAGGGGGTACTTTTAGCGAAGTCGGAGAGTTAGAACAAATTAATATTTTTTATATGTGTTCTGTTTACGAAAAAATGTAACTTAAAAAATTGCTTTTTCGCCAAATATAGTGATGTAGTTTAAAACATTTGATTGATTGTTAAACAGGAAGATAATTTCCACGTTTAATTCACTGCTCCTCGAGTTTCATTCGTAGCAGAAACATGCGCCATGAATAAGTATTCACAATGGCAACATGATCCATTTTACTTGTTGTGTACATGTTGTAGAGATCGTATTACACAAGGCCATGCTACATTGTCGTGTTCTTGTAGTTTAAACATTAAATAGGTATAAACAGTGTTATTAAGTAGCGTTCTGATTAATATATAAAGTCTACATGTCACAAGAGGCATAAACAAAGTATAAACTGCACTAATGAGGCCTGAACGGTATGATCGATCAAAAAAATCCAGCCAATGGGAATTCAGGATTGTTTTGAATTAGCCAATCGGATAGCCTGTATTCGAGTCCCTGATCGCTTTAGCGATCAGAACTCCCCACAGATCGCGCAAAAACCGAGATAGCCAATCAGATGGCTGGAATCTGACTCAGAGCGTGCAAAACTCATGCGTAAGACCGCTTTTCTGCGCGTTCATGTTCGAAGGTCTTGCTACTGAATGATATTTCAAAACTGGACTGTTAAACTTTCAATACATTAGACTGCGCAAAGTTTGATAACTGGACTGCTATTTTAATTTAACAATTTTGCATTTTTCTGGCCAATTTTTACCTTAGTCGCGTGATCGCTCTGATCACCCCTAGATCCGCTCCTGGAAGACATCTCAAACGTGGTGGTTCAGTGTAGGTAGTATTCTACAATAAGCTGTCGTGATTTGTGTCTGAACTACTAGAAAAAATATCTCAAATGTGGTGGTCCAGTGTAGGTAGTATTCTACAATAAGTTTCTGTGGTTTGTGTCTGAACTACTAGAAAAAATATCTCAAACGTGGTAGTCCATTGTAGGTAGTATTCTACAATAAGGTGTCGTGGTTTGTGTCTGAACTGACTTTAGTTGTCAATATATAGTTAATGGGAACCAGTATGTCACAGTTTGAGCAACAATACGCTTTGCATTAAACTTAATAAATAGATTTTGTTAATTGTGAAATATAATTTTGTTTTAGATGTGGACACTGGCGGAAAGAAACAAAAAACATCATGACATCAACACATATTTCAGCAACTATGGGCTCAGTGCAAGCTAGTCACCAAGAATTTAACTGCCAAATTTCTCACATGACTATGGAAAACAATGGATTACCAACTCAGCATTTTTACTTCTTAAATCTAAATATATAAATGGTGTGTAAATTTAACTTTAGTCATATAATTTATAATATTGTTTGTCATAAAACACTGTTCTTTGTTCGTCTTTCTGTTTAATATCTTTTTTACTTAGTATCATTAATACCAAGAAAAATCCTTTTTCAAAATATCAATGCAAGATTTTTACCTAAACACACTGCTATCATTAACTACTTTTTTTTCGGCTTAGACAACGGTTGATTTTCAAAATTACCTCACCAATGAACTCATGATATTGGTGGTTTTTAAAGTTATGTATATCTGATAAAGCTATTGATGTTCCAAATAAAAGTGTCCATCCATATAATGATGTCTATCAGGGGCGGATCTAGGGGTGATCAGAGCGATCACGCGACTAAGGTAAAAATTGGCCAGAAAAGTAGAAAATTGTTAAATTAAAATAGCAGTCCAGTTATCAAACTTCGCGCAGTGTAATGTGTTGAAAGTTTAACAGTCCAGTTTTGAGATATCATTCAGTAGCAAGGCCTTCAAACATGAACGTAACCTGAGTATCAGGCCGTACTTTTTAGGGCACAGGCACGCCTGATCGTGGCGAAGGGGAGAAAAGTACGGCCTGACACAAAAGTGGCATTTTGCCTGGTTGTTCAGTCCAGAATCTGGACTGAGCGCTGATTGGCCGATTAGACAAACGATTTTTAAATCTATCATTTGATTGGCTGGTGCTAATTAGATTATACTATTGTTGTTGATATATTTTATAACGATCACAATTCACAACTACAATTATAGCCGGCCCACGAAACGGCTGAATTTAAATTAAAACTGCAGTAAAATTAGAAAATAATCGCAAATTAGCGAAATATATTGCAAATGTAGCTTATATTAAATCGCCATCAGATTGCACTATCGACTGACGTATAGTTATAAAGTATACTTAATATATATATATATACTTTATAATTATACGTCACTGTTTGTTGATAAATACGGCAAGCGCCATGTAAAGCTCATTGTAGTCACTGAAACCTCTGTGGAGGAGAGAGCAATCGGGTGGCGATTTAATATAAGCTACATTTGCAATATATTTCGCTAATTTGTGATTATTTTTGTTAATTTTATAAGTTCATTGCAGTTTTAATTTAAATTCAGCCATTTAGTGGGCTGCCTATGCTATAATTAGATTGTTGTTGTCGTTGTGTGAAATTTAAATTTCTCTTGCGACATTTTGATTGGATACTAAATATAAACTTTGCTGTGGGCGGAAAGCGATCAGGTTAAGTTTTGTGTCAGGCTCTATTTGTAAAATAGAGCCTGATACTCAGGTTAACATGAACGCGCAGAAAAGCGGTCTTACGCATGAGTTTTGCACGCTCTGGGTAAGATTCCAGCCATCTGATTGGCTATCTCGATTTTTGCGCGATCTGTGGGGAGTTCTGATCGCTAAAGCGATCAGGGGCTCGAATACAGGCGATCCGATTGGCTAATTCAAAACAATCCTGAATCCCCATTGGTTGGATTTTTTTGATCGATCATACCGTTCAGGCTTTATTAGTGCACGGAAAGGTCTATGACCTTTCTGATCGCTACTTTGTGCTTGACCGCAAATTATTAAAGTTCAATGGGAAGATATACTATCAGAAATTCTGCATGAACTAATACTAACCATGTCTGTTAGTGTTTACGAAACCGTAAAGGCTGCTTTACAGAATGACGATCGACAAAATGACAAAGATATTGAAGCTGATTTAAACAAGCGAGTGACGGTGTACCAAAGCTTTCTATTAAAGATTTATTGAGCGTTGTGAATAACATAAGCAGCCTTACTCGCACGAAATTTGGTGCGGAATCATACATCGAAGTACGTTCGAGAGATTTTAACTAGATATAGCATTATAACTGTTGTATACTGCTTTATACTGTGTCTGTGGTGGATTGTGCGTCTGTACGCACTGTAACTCTTACGTTGCCAAATTAGAATTTCTCGACGAGTTACAGGGGTAGCGAGTGGTACAATTGAATTTTCGAACTCAACAGATGAAAAGGACAAAGCTTTAGTTGACGTCAAACAATGAATAGACTGTTGTTGTCACGAAATGATTGAATTGTCCTAGCTTGACGGTAAATCAATTGTTAGATAATGAATCACAAACAATGTAGACGAAGATATACGTTTTGTAGTTTTAATTCACGGTAGTTTCACTCTGTACTTTCACACTTTAGTATTGTAGTGGTGAGGTGGTGAGGTATTGGTGTTGTGTTGGTTCGAACTGAAACGCGACAGCAAAAAAATAACTAACTTAATAACGAACTAATATAACTATAGATTTACGCATGCACATGATAACAATAACAAACCTAAATAATAACAACAATAACTATAAACTTACGTACTTTGGTTTACACTTGTACCAATTGTAGCGATTATGATTACGGTAGAATATAAAGTCCCTTGAACTTCGGTAGCAATTTTTACTGTAGCACGGTTCGATTGATTTTGACAATGTTCATACTAGTCACGAACTGTGTGTATAGATATGTCCTAAAGGCATTTCCGCAGTGAATAGATAAGCGCTATATATGCGAAATAGAGTTCTATTCATGCTAGATAAGGTTCTATTATGCTAACTTCGTCTTAGATAATAATTAAATTGTAAACAATGACACAATGAACGTTTCAAACCAACACGCACAGGGACCGGCTAAACGGAGAGTTATGAAGTGGAGAGTTATCTCGGAGAGTTATGATTTCGGAGAGTTATGTTAGAACCACGCCCACTTTCCCCAACGACCACACCCAATTTCTTAACTCTCCCGATGTTTCCTTGAACTAACATGAGAGAGTTATGTTTGACGTAACTCTCTCTCGTTAACATTATGAAGATGTTAGAGAGTTATCATTTTTTATAACTCACTGCGTTCACGATTATGGCAATGAAGAAAGTTATTTCAGTTTTTTGAAAAAAACTTCCACATTTTAGTAAATTATTGTGAATTTACTTTTTTCTCAAGTTTCAGCTGTAATATTCCACGCTAGTAGAAACTAGTAGTACTTTAGTACTTACCAAGTGAAGCGAGTACGAGTAAATAAATTATTATACATGCTCACGTACTTGGATTACCTACAAAGCCCAACATTCAGATACAGCTCTCGTATTAGATAGAACCAGAAAACCTTTCCAAATTTGTCAATTTCCTTGCAACTATGCTTACCGTATTGACTGCCAAATATACGTCAAAACATGCTTCTGGGGGTAATTTGACCCATCTGCGGCAAGCATCTCATTGTTTTGACCGAGTCAAGTTGTACTATTTCCTGTTTGGACGCACGCTATTGACACGCTACAAACTGAAATACCGAAATATAAGATCTTTACTATTTAAAGGTTTCTCAAAAAACTGACATAACTCTCTTCATTGCCACAATCGTGAACGCGGAGAGTTATAAAAAATTATAACTCTCTAACATCTTCATAAAGTTAACGAGAGAGAGTTACATCAAACATAACTCTCTCATATTACTTCAAGGAAACGTCGGGAGAGTTAAGAAATTGGGTGTGGTCATTGGGGGAAGTGGGCGTGGTTTGGGCGTGGTTCGAACATAACTCTCCGAAATCATAACTCTCCGAGATAACTCTCCGGTTGGTAACTCTCCCTTTAGTCATACCCACACGCACATGCTATAATATCGGCGGATACGCGTCTAAGACGTATAAAAATACGAGACGAAATTTACATAATATTTCTGTCAATTGACATAAATACTGCGGCTTCATACAGGCGGTTTCAGTGTGTTTATACTTTGTTTATGCTTCTTGTGACATGTGGACTTTATATATTAATCAGATAGCTACTTAATAACTGAATAACACTGTATTAATATTATTTATACCTAGCCTATTTCAGTTAAACTACAAGAACACGACAATGTAGCATGGTCTTGTGTAATACGATCTCTACAACATGTATACAGCAAGTAAAATGGATCATGTTGCCATTGTGAATACTTATTCATGGCGCATGTTTCTGCTACGAATGAAACTCGAGGAGCAGTTAATTAAACGTGGAAATTCTCTTCCTGCTTAACAATCAATCAAATGTTTTAAATTGCATCATTATATTGCAAAATTTTTGGACCATCCATGTCAAAGCAAAAAATATGCGATTAAATAACAATTTTTAAAACGTCAAGTCATCCTTGTCAATCTATTTCTCGATGAGAATTGGATACCTGTTTGACATTGGGCGAAAAAGCAATTTTTTTAAGTTAGATTTTTTCGTAAAGAGAACATATATATAAAAAAAAATAATTTGCTTGATTCCCCGTCAAAGTACCCCCCTCCCCCAGTCAAAAGGTCAATGTTCAGCAACGAAATTGTTGACTAACGTACGAAAAATCCTAGATCCGCCCCTGATGTCTATAATAATAGTGGTGTGTCCTTATAAAGTATTTTATAGAATGTTGTATAGCCTGCGAACAGGCTCTCAAGCTGAATTGAGAGCCTGCATCGATGACTAATGAATTTGAATACCTGCGTCTCAAATCGTGACGCGAAATTCTCATTGGTCAGGTGCTATAATTCATATTATTCCGCTGAGCTCTATATATGTCAACTGCTGCACTATGCATAAAAAACACATTAACTGATCAAATTGGTCTTGGCCATCTTATCTCAAAGCACGAAATGTTCTGTTTTGAAAAAACAGTATTTAAGGTGGCTCCCTAGGGTTTTATTTCCGGGGGTTACTCTTCGTATATATGTAAACTAAAACTTGTGTGACTTCGAACGAACGTTGTGTTTTTATATGGAACTCTTTTGAAACAAAAGTGTGAACTTTGCTTTAGTTGAAAGCATAAAAAGAGTTCTAAAAGACAAAACGATACTTGGATGTGATGTTTCAAAAGAAGATAATGTAAACTTGTTTTTTTTTCAAGCGGTATTCTGGAAGTTTTTTGAACCGCCGTACGCCAGGTTCGATCGCGAACATTGGGATATGATATAAAGTTTTCTCAAGAATTTGCAGTGTTTTCTCCACAATCTAGCAGCACTTATGACAATAAAGATGACTTAAATAATGAGCCCTCTACTGGTGAAATGAGCAGGGCCGAAACTCCAAACATACCACGTACCATAAAAACTGAAATTTGAACGGGCATTTTGCGAAAACATCCGACGTATGTACTAACTCGCACGGGACGAATTTTGACAAACATTTTTCAAATTAATACCAAGAAATCATAACTAACTAGAAAATACATGCATGCAGAAACCCTCGCCTTGCTGACAAAACCGTTGTATTTTCCGGACATGAAGTATCTAAAGTAGTTGTCATGGTAACACGATAATTTTTTAAGAATATTCTTACAAATGAAAATCGCCTAAAAATATCACTTTTAATTACAAAATTATCAATTTCCCAACATATTTATGTTAGGTATGTAATTATACGTAATACAAGCTTCAATTTAAGGTAAAATTCAACCACAAACAATTCACAAAATGTTTTAAAGTGTTCTTTATAAAACTAAACTGCCTTTAACTATTAAATGGCTTTATCGATAAACTTTGAGTTTGCAATAAAATGATTTCAAATTCTCGCTTGCAAATAACTTTGCTTTATTTTTATTTAAAAAATTCAATATAACAAAAAAGGGAATCAATATTAAAGATACACTGAAATTATATGCTGTCTTGTTTAGTTGTTTCATATACGCAAAGGCCGTCGGGTTTTAAAGCCATTATAAAATTAATATTTAAAACAAACTTACCTTTGTTAACGTCGGCTCCCTTCTTTTAGCTGATTCTTTCGCCCTTTCTTTCTTGAAATTTACAAAATCTTGCAGAAATACGAGCAAAAATGAAGAATATTTGCAAGAAATTTGTCAATCATCAACTCATCAAATCAAGAAATGTCAAATGTTTGCTATTTCGCTGTCGTCATGCAGCGTTATAATGCAAACTTTAAATTGGACCAATCAGTGTCCGCTTTTAATGACAGTCCGCCATATTTTTGAGATCAGTGAGGATGACCACCCATCGTTGGTGACCGACGCCCGCGCTCATTGATGAACTTCAGACTTCCCTAATGCTTTCGTTTCTCCGGGTGTAAATAGCCGGGGGGAATTAGTACCCTCGCACGGCGCTTCGCGCCGTTGGCTCTGGGATTAAGACCAAGTTGTAACGTGAGGAACAGTTCTTCCTTATGAGAAGTTGAAGAACTATTCCCAAATGTTACCAAGTTTATTACGAACCTTTATACCTACACTGGGTACCCACATTTGTAACATACGGTAAGATGGGATAGCATCCATTGGGTGAACTGAATTTAATTTAGCCGAGGGTTTACTAGATAGAATTATTATATCTAGCAAAAACTATACATTATGTTTTAAATAGAACACTTAACTGTTGTTTCTATTGGAATGCAAAACCTAGCCCAGAATGATTAGATCTTTACATACTGAACATCCTCTGAATCTCAGTTCTACTGTATTAAATTGTTAATACTGTATACACATCACTATTCCGACTTCAAAATTCACGAGCCAATAGGCGATATCAAGTACCATTGACGTTGCATGAGATACGCTTCCGGAACATCATTTGAAAATAAGGGGCGGACCAAGTTAGAAAAGTGATATGCACATGGGGGGGGGGGGGGATTGTTAACTTGAACGAATCGTTTTTTCATTTTTTGCTTGTGTCGATAATTTTTTTAAATATAATCCCTTGCACAATTTTTTTTATATCAACTTATAGTTCCTATTAAAAAGTCTCTGCACATTTTTTTTTTAAATTAAGATTTCTTACTGTACGACTTTTTTTTCTCCTGCGCAATTTTTTTACCCGCCCCCCCCCCC